ATCACACTTGTGAATACAAAATGTTTGCATTGTGCGAAATATCGAAATTGCCCCTCGAAATTTTGCTAAACCGGTAGAACTTCGAGGCCGTCATCTACGTCATTTGAGTTTTCATTGACACAGTAGGCACAGCGCAGTATTAGTAGCATCTTTATATTTCCTTAGTTAGTTTTCAAAACTGTGATTATTTCTGAAAGGAAATAGTTTTAGATAAATTATATTACTATTCTTTATGTTAAAGCCGTCTCACAGGTACCCGTGAGTACTGTATTACTCAGTCGCTAGGACAATTAGCTGTTTATGGAATTCACAGTCGTAGGTTTGGCTTAAAAAATAAAACTCAAAATAAATTAGTAATCTCACCTGCGTTTATACTATAGATATCCTCTACCTATGTTTTGTTATCTCTCCTTATTTAGGAATACCGTTAAAACGAAAAACGTTAAAAGTTTATCGTGTCATCTCGATTTCGCATTTTATTTATTTAACGGTCTTATCATAAAATTTTTGAATGAAAATTATCAGTTAATCAAATTTATCAGTTCAATAGCTAAATTAGATTTACAACATGGTGGTCATTTTTATGAACTTTTTACGCGAGGCATACCTATGGCATAACCAGTCACCACTGTTATCCCGGATGGGGTAGACAGTGCCATTATCAACTATAGACGTCATGGACAACCCAACACTCTGCGGTAATGATATTATCTTTGTGAACTATTCCATAATCATCCATTAAAAAAATCACATCTTTGGTCTATATGACATGAATTTTTTATATGCCTTTTTTGTCAGGTATGTTTATTTATTAAAATGTTGGAATAATTAGACTTTTTTTAATATACGGCAGTCGGAAAAAAACAAGTTCTGTATAAAAATCTCTTTCATGTGATGCCATATGAAATTTTTTTTTTTATTTCACTGCATACTTTTTTTTTTATTATGTATTGCAACTATGTCGAATCCGAGGAGCATAATACCTATACGCATACATATATGTAGATACCGTAAAATATATCGCTCTATATATTTGAGCGCAATGCTGCAGAGAACAAGCCTATTTTTTTAACGGTGTGCCCATCACCAAAGACTCAGCTGGAAATATAAACTGACATAAACTTTTTTGGACAATAATTTGCACATTTTCAGCCAGATTTAATCGCACAATCTTCTGGCATAAGTCATTTAGTCATCATTATGTTGCCTGCAATAAAGTATTCACGTGTTCAACAACCCGATCATCCATAGCTAAATACTCTGTAAATAATAATTACACTCATCGACCCCTATAATCGATACCCCGTCCAATTCAAACGGGGATTGAAATTACAAGGCCTGAGCCGAAATTCTAACCTCTAGCGGTGCCCTCAGACAAAACTCGGATCCATATGACATGAGTTGGCCTTCACCCGCGTCATAAGTCCCTCCGCAGGTTTACAGGGCCATCTGTACTCGCCCCCTATCGATTGGTGAAGCTGTAAAGACCAGCTGCGGCCAACAGCATTATAATAGTTCGAATAAAAACTGATCAAAGAAAAATAACTACGTGATAATGTATTTATACTTATAATATATTCGTTTTTGGTTTCAACAAATCGCCCTCGTCTGGCTCTTATCTCCGCCCTGTGATAACCTCGTACAGACACACATACAAACATATTCATACAATTTGTCTTATATAATGAACTTATAAATAATTTACTATAAAGCGCCATTCCTATACCGTTCTTAATTTTATCTATTAATTACTGTATTTTTTATTAATGAACATGGAAGAGTACCTACTCTCGCCAACCTTACTAAATTTTTCAAGCGACTTCAATCCTGGTTTTGACCGAATTTTTAAGGTGTCTATATATATAAAAAAATCCTCAAAATTTAAATCTACATATGTGAATCAATGATGATACTTTTTTTATTTCAAAGCTGGTGCTACTGATGTGGTTTCAAATTAATTTGATCAAGACTGACCAGTGGTTTGGCAATAATGCAGTTAAAGTAAGTTTTGTATTAGTCCATAAACGCGTATAATTATTATAAATAAGCATTTGTCAGATTCATACTATATGTTTAGGTATTTATGTTAATATTGTAGAGGTTAAGTGCCTCATAAGTTACCATTATACTTTATTTAGTTGTATAAAACAAATTTGCTGTGTGATAAGATGATAAGTTTCTTAGAAATAAAAAAGAAAAAAATAAAAAAGAGTGAATCAAACATTTGACTCCTTTATCATATTCATCATTAATAAATATTATTATTATTTTTCCAATATATCATCACCTAGCAAACATACATATTTGCAGTATATCACCACAAAATAGACAATGACAATTCGTTGATTATTTCATTACATTCTTCTTGTGATCAGTCAGCTTTCCGATTGAGCGGTAGATTGAAAAACAAAATGTGATTATAATTCAAAAGTGCTTCAATGTAAGTTTATTACAATAAATAATTTTCTATTCTATTCTATTCATTTGCCCCGATATATTTCAACTGGATTCAATGCTTGAAGTGCTTTAAAATAAAATAAAATTGGCTTTGTTAATGTGTTCCTATTTGTAGGACACATGATAGTGAAGTTAGTGTTCGGAAGTATAGGGTAATACGGGCGTTACTGTATGTGTGTAATAGCTAGTTCTTATACATACATCTTATACGTTAGTTACCGAGCATAGCATAGCCGAAGAGAAGGTAGAGTACTCATAAAACTGAACGAAGTTCAACATGAAAATAACTATAGTATACAAGAGCTTTTAGCGAAGAAGAATGAAGAAGAACTTAGAAGAATACTGTATTCTATATCTTAAATTAAAATAAGAATTATTGTAGTGCCCTTGTAGGAAACTTCTCATAATAATGTAGAACCTCATCTGTGTAACAACAGGAAACAAAAAAAAACATTTAAATTTAAATTGTTGTTTTTCTTGATCTCGATGTGCAACTCTGAAAATAAATGTTGATTATTTCACACTAAATCGGATATTTCAGTTAAAGTTTCTATAAAGAATTTGAAATACATTTTCAATTTTCCAATTTGCCTCTTTAGGAAATGTTGCACGAATACTGTCCATGCCCTTCGGATACCCTTTATGACTAACTCTGAAGCAACAGTTACTATTTTTAGTCAAGTATACTATCAGTTTGTTTACCATTTAAATTATGTTTATAAAAATATCACACAGTAAATTGTTAATTAGAAAATTTGTTCTATAAATTAAACAAAATGACTACACGACCATTCTGAGGTAGAAATTGATAAACAAACCTTACAAGCAATAGCAACACGTTACAAAATTCATGTAAACTAATTAATGTACTAGGCTGGTGACATCGGTCGGAGGTCGACCTGGCATTATTATTATGGTTCCAATAAACTCATTTGATGCATCATAGCTTACTTCCTATCACGTAGAGAACTTATTAGATATGATTTATAGATAGGTATTATTCCACATATGTGTACTAAATATGTTGACCTATTGATTCGTTTTTAGTATTAATTATTTAATTAATTATATTTTACTATTAATTTTAATTTTGTCTTTACATAGTATAAAATAAAATCGTCGCCGCTGTCTATTCGCTTAAGTCTTTTAAATTACGTAACGGATTTGAATGCAGTTTTCAGCAAGAGGTATATAGACTGAATCAAAAGGACATATAAATCTATGTATAATATAGCGTGTTTTAGTATAGAACAAGCCCAGAAAATCAAAGATTTGTAAAGCATCCGTGCGAAACCGTTAACAGGTCGCTAGTTTAATATAAATCTTAAATACCTACAATCTATTTTCACTTCGACATACACTATGATCCGTATAGTCCGTTTAGTAGTACGAGAGACATGTCTTATAGTGACAATCAGACACACTATCGCATTTATGCTTACTAATGTTATGAATGTGAAAGTAGGGATATTTGTTACGCATTCACCCAAAACTACTGAACCGATCATCATGCAATTTTGTACATATGTTCTTGGAGGTATTGAATGAAGCTAGGGTACTTTTTATTTAAAAAAATTATATATAGTATTTTTTATAAAAACCAAAACATTTTGCTACTTCAACGCCATCTAGGAGCCAGTAGTGAAATTATAAATCTCCGATACTTATACCACAGATAACATAATATTACATACTTATACAATGGATTCAATGCGAGCGAAGCTGCGGCTAGTGGTGTTATAGAGTAACAATTGAAATTGCAAACAACAGAAGAACTATCTTATGACAACATGATATTCATGTATAATTAGTGACGTTTACCAAAAAATATGAGACCAAAATTTTTAATGAACTTTTTTATTTGCCACACTCATTGCTTAGTGACAGCCATATTGGATGGTAGAGAATGCTATATGACATTAAGCTCGCCTTTTGTACACATCATAATGCACTATAAAGAATTAATTAATTAATATTAAACATATTTTTGATGAAGATGGTTCATTAAAAAGTAAAAGAGATAAGTTGACTAAATAAATTATCTATAAATATATCATTGTTCTATTGTCTTATTATATACATGCATATAGGTATATATTTGTCATTTAAATATATGAATGATTGTATGTAGTAACAATGTAGCTAATATAAGAATGCATAAATATCTATGCGGAAACAAAGGAAAACGTATATAATAATTAGTGGATAGGTATGTAAGCATTTAGCGATTTTTTTATTAAGATCCTACAGTCCTTGAATTTAATTTATAAAAATGTCGAGGTTGACATCTTAGCATTCGGCAACGCATAAAGGGTACTTTAGATGATCTCTGTGGTGCTTTCCATGTACGAGTTAACGAGTGTACCAACAAAACAAAACAAAAAAATCCAAATTTGAATGTACGCAGCCCGCGAAATTTGAAAATTCACCTTACTTTTTGTACACACTTGTATATAAGCGACGCTTACCATCTTGGATCATCAGCTTGTTTAGTATTTCAATTACATAACAAAAAACTTAATAATGTTTATTCTCTATTTCAGTGCTCGTATTGCTGGCCTCGACGTTAGTCCTGAGTCTAATGGGCACCATATTTTTTAGTCTGAATAACACAATCAATGATGCCGTATTATCTGTAAGTACCTTTCATGCTCTTTTTTATTAATTATTTTAGTTCCTAATGAAGCCTGGCTGTAGTAAACTCAAAGCTACACCCAAAAGTTCAAATCTAGTCGATATCAAAAAAAAAAGGTAAATTTTTATATTAGCTTGGATTGTTTAGACTTATGAACTAAAGATAGGTCCTTTTTAGTCACAATCGAGTTTTTCAGTCACGTGTAATTCTAAAACGTACCTGTTTAAAGAAATTATATATTGTTGTATGAAATATGGACAAAATTTAAAGAATTTAATCAGTTATTGCAAATAAAAGTCATAGTTACATGTTTTGTATGGAAAGAGGGGAATATGCTGTTATGCTGCGCAACAAAGATCTGCGTTGTTGTAGGTACATAAGTATCATATAATAAGTATCAATGCTTTTCCTATGAAAATATTTATGTATTCATTTACAATTCATTTACAATTTACAAATAATAAACTAACAGTATACCTGTCTAAATACAAAATAGGAAAAATATTATTTTCAAATTTACAGTGCTCCACGTGTATGCATAATTTTAGGTTTCTTCTGATACTTGTTTTGTTAATGGAAACAACTTTAATAAGTATACAACTTTATAACCTATCACCTGATGGTAAGTGATAACCATCGCCTTTATATATTAACATCATCACCACCGTTTTAATGTAGGTCAACCAAGGGCGTCAATTTGTAAAATAATTACCGGTCCATTCCGGATTCAGAAGGGTGGAATTTTTTTTACACCTTTACCAATAAATATTACCATGTTACTCAGAAATAGTGTAGTTAGTGTTCTAATAGTAATTTTTGAAATCGGTCTAGTAGTTTCTGTATTTAGTCATTACAAATATTTTCATTTAATATAATTTTAGTGTATACTCGTACATATAAAGAGGTATTCTATTTCCAGGATTTAATCTCACGTATTTTTGTTGCTAGAAGTTTGTTATATTCTGACGAAATTATAGAATATTCTTATATATTACTAGATAAAGATTTCGTACATAATTGTTTATGTGATTCTAGTACTCGTCTAATGTAGCCGTTAAACTTACTTTGTTGTACAAGTAAACTGCTAATTTTCCGGTTTGAAAGTTTTTAAATATAAGAGAAGGGGTTTGTATCTGCAGTCGATGTCTTTGCATCGACTCCGGCAACTCCTTCTTCTACTTCTCCATCTCTAAATCAGTGCGGATGACCTGTGCCTGCTGCCACATATATATGAGCCACATTAGCTAACGGTTACAACTTCCCATTACGTGGGCAGAAAGACTGTTTGCCATTCGTATTACATTTACTAATGTGCAATTACTTACTACACGAGGAACTATGGTTTTCTAAATATACGGTTACTCTGAAAACGATAAGTCGTTTTCAGAGTAACCGTATAGAGAGTGCCAGTAATTAGGTAATCATTACATACTATTAATAACCCAACAATAGGAAATTGATAATTTATTGAATTAATTAGGGAACTGACAATTGAAGTGGAAAGTACCTCGCTGTAATAATGTCAAAATGTATTACAATGTCTTCAATCTTCACTGTACCTATTGTTATCAACCGTCCCCCAAAAAGATTTGACTTTGAATATATTTTTGTGAAGACGTTACATTCACGTATAAAAATTTTAAAAATTAAAGTATCTGTTTGTAAATTCAAATTAACAGCTTTTCATTAAATGCATATGAAAGTATAGAAGATATATCATACATTCAATTTTTAATCTTTTTGACTGTCTGTCTGTCTATTTGGTTGGTCTTGCTAATCTCTGAAACGATAGCTAATGTTATAAGGAGTAACATGGCCACTTACCATGGTAGGTATATGTTAGAAATTTTATTTATTTGTGAATATTTCTTATTAAATCCTTCATCTGTCTTGATGTGCAACCTTAACATACAAAACTGACAGTTTTTGTATTATTACCATTTGTACCACTTGAGAGAATAATTATTGAAAGTCATAGTATTAAATTTTGGCAAAAATATCACGTTGCCAAGTAGAAATGATTCCGGTGAATTGAGTACCTAATCCTTTCATGAAATAAAATTATTTCAATAAATACCTGCATGAATATTATGCTTGAATAATTAACATATTCAGAATGATTGACACTCAATTTCCTGACAGCTATGTAATCTTACGTAAATACAACACGTTGAAAAATGTATGCATTTTACGACATTTTGACAATTTATGACATACGATTTAAATAATATGCATTTGTAATTAATTCTATATACGTAGTTGTGAAGTCTCTCTCCTTCATATAGTATACAATGAAATCGCTTCCGCTGACTGTTAGCTTATATCTTTCAAATTACGCAACTCATTTTAATGCGGTTTTAATAGATAGAGTGTTACAAAAGGAAGGTTTAAATATATAATGCTATGCGTGTTACAGTAAAGAACAAACCGCGAAATTTAAAAATTTGTAATGGGTCCGTGCGAAGCCGGGACGGATCGCTTGTTAGAATTATAAAATTATTCTCCTGCTCGTCTGAGGCCGCGAGTTTATTGTATGATTAGATTAGTAGTGTTTTTTTTAATATTTACTATGATACCTATACATTACATAACGTGGTGCTGTGAACAACATATTTGAAATACCTAATGATTATTAAACCAATTATAATTCTTCAATAACCACTTCAAGATTGGATAACCGTGTAATAACGCTGGATTATATACAGTTTGCGTCATAATTAAGTTAATTTGATGTCATTAAATCTTTGTCTGTTTAATACAAAAAATAACTATGTTAATTAATGTATAATTTCACATTATGTATTACGAATAATAAGGTTGCGGAAGACGTTGAACAATAATAAAATTACAGTTGAATTATCATTTCATTGTACTTTCAATATTTAATTTTCTTCTTTTTTAACTATATTATTTTAGTAATACACCAAATTTCGTTTATTGTCGCCTATGAAGGCTAGGTGCCTTCATACGAATCTTAGTCAGCCCCAAAACAGATTTTTGTGAACTGAGTTTCGGTTAGAGGTATTATAATTACTATGAAATTAAATTAATATAATAAATAAAAATAATTAATCCCTGTAATAATAACAATAATATCTCATAATAATTCACATAGCGCCATCTAGACCCAAGCTAACCAGAGCTCATGTTATGGTTATATATACAACTGACATAAATAAATATACATATTTGTTTAGTAAATACATACATAATGTACATAGAAAACACCCAGTCTGATACAAACAATCAGACTCATGAATACGAATGTTGGAACCGTACAAGGAATTGAAATCGCCAGTGTCAGTTTGTAATTTCAAATTAACAGCTTATCAATAAATGCATATGAAAGTACATATATACGGCATTTATATCTTAATAAATATTAAAAGTTTCTCAGTAAATATTTTTACTATAAGTATAGTTTTTTTCTGTCTGTCTGTTTGTTCTTGCTAATCTCGGAAATGGCTAAGCCAATATTGGCGTGACTTTCACTCGTAGATAGCTAATATTATTTAGGCTACTTTTGAATTAGGAAATTTATTCATATTAATTCCTCTCGGACGAAATCGCGGGTTACAGCTAGTCGGGAATATAAATTGACAGACAGTTTTTTTTTTAATGTCGGCCCTTGGTGCTTAAATAGAGTACTGAATCACTAGGAGATGATAAAATATAACCTTTCGTTTACAGAACATGGTGATTCGGAACAACACACTGTCTTACTCATTATGGCGGCAGCCCAGCGTGCAGCCATTAATGAAAGTATACCTCTTCAACTATACCAATTGGAAGGACGTTAAAGAAGGACGGGAAAAAAAGCTACATGTTGAAGAGGTTGGACCCTATGTGTATTCGTAAGTACATATCAAAATATATAATATATTATATTCAATATGCATTCAATCGTACACTCACACACACACACCCACATACACATACACAAAGTAAATTACAAAAAAGGTACATAATAATTTTAGGTAAATCGTAAGTTATTGAATCTATATACCTTATGTTATGAGAAGGAAATGACTCCTGACTTGCAATTTACGCTAGTATAATAACGTGCACGGATGCACGCTGCCCTATTTAATATCTTATTAATATTACTAGCCACTCGCCCCGGCTTTCCACGGATGTACATGTAATATATATATATATATATATATATATAATTTCCTCTTGAATCACTCTAACTATTAAAAAAACCGCTTCATAATTCGTTGCGTAGTTTTAAAGAGTTATGAATACATAGGGACAGCAGCGACAGCGACTTTCTTTTATACTATGTAGTGATCATGATAAACGCAACAGTTTGTGAGTATGAATGTATGTTTTTTACTCGTTCACGCAAAAACTACTGATCGAATTTTGATGAAATTTTACAATAATATACATCAGAGTAACATATAGCCTATAAATTTCACGCGGGTGAAGCTAGTCATCCATAAAAAAACTATATGTGTACCCGAAAAGCATGCAATGAACAAGCAATTAAACTAACTTCAAATGAATATTGATATCTAATCCAGTGTGTATAATATATAACAAAACTGTTTGTATATTTGTCGTTTTATCATTTATGAATGAACATTTCGTCGGAATTCGACAAAGGGGGTGATAAGATAAACAATTCGGAAATGTCCATCTGTCCTGACATTTATATATATATATATATATATATATATATTTATATATATAGATATCTTCTCATTTTAGTTTTCATACATTATAGTTATCAACAATTATCGGGTGTTTAGACATAATTATGAATATCAGAGTCCAGAAAACCGTTTATTATTAAAAATAATAATAGTATGTTTAATAATAATAATAACTTAGAACACTTCACAAAGCGCCATCTAATCCTAAGCTAAGCAGAACATGAGTTATGGGTAAATAACTTTTTGGAAATACTTATATATACATTCTTTGGAAATACATACATATATATACATAAGATACCCATAGTACGAAACTCATGAAGTATATAAAAAAAATGTACCGTGCGAGGAATCGAACCTGCAACCATCGGACGTAAGGCAGTGTGCTAAGACGCTAAACAACCGAGTTTACGTAGTCAGAATGGCAAACAAGTTGACACCCCACCTGATAAGTGGCAAAGCTTTTGTATTGATGTCTGTATAAACATAAAAACATTCGAATATATTTGGAGATTTACATTTATCTATAGATATGATCCTGTGTAATGTAAACAAGAATTAACGCAATCTCTGTAAGTGATTTGTCCAGAATTAACTATCGAATCAATATTAGCTACTTACTTTTAACTAGTTTTTTCCCACAATGTTACCTGCTAGAACTACAGCCCATATTTTTTGTTGCTATGGACGATAATGCAATGTTGTACCCGCCTACGCTAATGTTTTACGCTGGCGGGGCACCAGTGGAGAATGATAGGATGAGCATGAGGTCAGGTTAGTTAGCTCTTCATGACAAATTCACCAGTAATTTATCATGATGGTTTCCAGGGGGAACTGCGTGGAGGTCGATCTAACATGGTATATTGCCGGCAATGGGATCATCAGTCCACATTACTAACTATCCTCTTCCATCCCTACCGGAGTTTAGGGTTGCAGCTGTTTACCTTTACTTCCGATGGTCGCGGGTTCGATTCTACGCACAGTCCGAACATTTGTATTCGGGGGGAAGGGGATTGTTAGTAATGTGGACTAATAATCCCATTGCTAGCAATGTACTATGTCAGGTTGGCCTCCACGCGGTTCCCCCTGGAAACCATTGTAATAAATGCCCGGTGAACTTATCACGATGGGCTAACCTGCCTTCATGTTCATCATATCATCCTCCACTGGTGCCCTGCCAGCGTATACCGTTAGCGCAGGCGGGTGCATCATTCCTATCATCCACAAAAAAAAACATTTGTATTCATGTGTATAATTATTTGTATTGGTCAGCGTGTCTATCTATATCATACAAATAAATAAATACCCAGACCAATACAAACAACATGTGAATACAAATGTAATCACCGCGCGAGGAATCGAACCCGCGACCATCGGAAGAAAGACGGTGTGTTAAATTGCTAGACCCCGTTAAATTATAAACAAGCTTATAAAAAAACTAACCTTTCCTGAACCCAATGGGAGCAATAAAGGTTTTTGCCACGGTACGACAGTCAGTTTATTTTTTGTGGGTGGAGAAGGAAGAAGAGGGTAGGGGCAAGTACTATTTTTGAATTGCATTTGTATTGCGTAATTACATTATTTTACCAAACGCAGGGTACGTCCGTCCCTATATAGTTGATGTACATACTATGATCGCACTTGATGTCCCTAATATAATAACTTTACCACCTGCTGATAGAGTTTTCGTTAGAATGAAGTCATTCGCTTTTACTTTTATGACCGAAACGGTAAACAAACTGGCGGCGTCCTTTATGGTAAATGGCAACTGTGACCTGTACATACAAATTTATCACTACAAAAATCACCATATATATATATATAAGTACCATTCCCGTAATTGTAACTGTCATTTTAAAGTAAATATTTATTTTCGCATGTAAAGATCCCAACTATACCTAATAACAAACTAGGAGAATTTACACAACGACTTTTAGAAGCAAGTTAACAGAGACAACTGACAATAATACTTACGTACATTTATTTGTAAATACGACTTAATATACATAAAAAAATCCAGACCAATTTAAACTATCATACTCACGAATACAAATATTTGGGTTGTGTGAGGAATCGAACTCGCAACCATCGGTTATGTCAACTGGTTTACTAACCGCTACCCTATCGAGGCCATCAACTATAACTTGAATGACAAAGGCTAGAACTCTAGCCTTTGTCAAACAGCACTGGACTTGTGAAAAGCATAAAAATGATACAAACAACGACATGTCCGCCATATTGCAACAATATTTTTTTACGATATCATAAAATATATGTAATTTTGGGTCGTTCATTACACCGTGGCTTGTTATGTCTTATCGATATTTACTGATACTGTTACCATTCTGTTACGTAGTAGGAAGTAGTTAGTTCGAGGGACAATTCACTAATTTTATTGTTTACTTGCTACTCGCCCCGACTTCGCACACGAATTATGTATATAAACCTTCCTTTAGAATCACTCTATCTATTTAAAAAACCGCTTCAAAATCCGTTGCGTAGTTTTAAAGTTTTAAACTTACATACGGACAGACAGCGACAGCGACAGCGACTTTATTTTATAATAATTATGATGATGATAATGATAAACATGAAAGTACAAACATTAATGGAAGACACCGCCTAGACTTATGCCAACTTCATGTCGACAAAGAGGCGTCGAACGCATGGCTGAGCCGAGGAGAACTCTTCCCAGAGACTGAAGGCTTTATGATGGCAATACAAGACCAAGTTATTGAGACCAGGAATTATCAAAAACATATTACAAAAACCATCACCTCAGACTCATGTAGAAAATGCAATAGCTGTCCAGAAACAATTCAACACATTACAGGTGCATGCAAAACAATAGTTCAAACTGACTACAAACACAGACATGATCAAGTAGCAAACATCATACATCAAAAACTTGCAGAACAGAACAACTTTGTTACTTCCCTACAACCATACTATAAATACAATCCTGAAAGCGTATTAGAGAACTCTACAGCTAAACTCTACTTTGATCGTGCTATTCTCACAGATCGAACCACACATTACAATAGGCCAGACATTACACTAATAAACAAAACCAACAAAACTGGATACCTGATTGATATCGCTGTCCCCAACACACACAACCTGCAAAATACGATAGCCGAAAAAATAACAAAATATAAAGAATTACAAACAGAAATAACCCGACTCTGGCACTTACAAAAAGTAACAAAAAGTCCCAATCGTCCTCTCAACTACAGGTGTCATACCGAAACACATGCATCAGTCACTAAATACCCTGAACTTGCCCCCTAATATATACTGCCAACTACAGAAGGCTGTAGTTCTAAATACATGCCGGATTGTTAGAAAGTTTCTACAGATAGATTAGGCCTACATTTGTATATCCACCTGATATAGAACATTGTTAACATCAAGGTATATGAAAAGTTAATCTTCTTTTTTATTATTATTTATACAAATTAACCACCCGCTCCGACTTTGCACGGGTGTACATGTATTATACATATAAACTTTCTTCTTGAATCACTCTATCTATTGCTGAAAACTGCATTAAAATCAGTTGCTTAGATTAAAAGATCAGAGCGAAGACACAGTAGGTACCTACATACTATATTCTAGAGAGTTAGAAAACCATAACGAAAGTACAGTTTTAATTAATTCCATACATTATTCGTGAATACGTCAGAATCATGAAATAAATACAACGTAATTATTTATTCTGTGGTCGGAATAAAATCATAAGAATTACTTATTAAGTGTTTATGTTTCCGTTTTGATAAATTGCTGATACATTTGGTAATAAAAACAATAGTATGCCATATATATGGTAATAAAATTAGCACTGATAAGTTCTGTATAGGCCAAAGGCTGTTGACTGTTACTGTTGCGGATAATTAAAATAACCATATGTGCTACGTTTACATTCAGCCGCTTCCCCTGCCACTCATTTTTGTAATAATTTTACACCAATCGGTTTACAGAGATGTTTTATAACTTTATAACTTCAATACTTTTAAAAATTTATATATTAAAATACTAGTTACTCGCCCCGGTTTCGCCCGGGTGTACATGTATTATATATATGTAAACCTTCCTCTCGAATCACTCTTTGTGTCAAATAAAGATTTAAGCGTACATAGGGTCAGACAACGACAGCGACTTTGTTTTATACTATGTAATGATAGATGATTATAAAAGCAAAGAAAGGCCAAAGAATAAATCAATGGTCTGTGTGAAAGAAAGAAAGGCAAGAATGGGAGTGAGTAACGAGATAACTGCGAATAGGGATGAATGGAACAGAAAACATATTACGCCAACCATAAAGAATATGGAGTAAAGAACAACAAATAATTATTAAAAATAAAATCGTTATACAGGTACCAAGATGGATGCTCCGCTAGTGCTTAATAAATATATTTTATTCTTATTTTTAATAACGATATACATATTCAGATAAATATAACATTAATATTATCATTTAATGGTTTCGTCATATAATTTTAGACCAGCGAATCATTTTTTCTGCGACACATCTTAATGTTATCAGAAATAAATCAGTTCGCTACGTAACTACAAGCGAAGTGGTGATAACCTCGTTTGTAATAGGCAATAGTAATTAGATAATGAAAGGGTAATATCCCCGTTAGAGCCACGAACTCTGCTCTGAAGGAAAACGACGTAAAAGAGAATTTAAAACGAGCAAATGGTATTCTGCTGGATTTGGTTGGAGGTTTTAATTGACTTAGAGATTTTTATAGCTTTGCCATTGAATGATGTACCTAATGACAATATCTATATAAAGTTATAAATGTGAAAGCATATCTGTCTGTCGTTATCTTTTCACGATTAAACGGCTGAACGAACTTTAATGATGGAGATGAAGACTGTATCACGAGAATGGATAAGGCTGTATTATATTAAAAATAATCAGGAATGGAGTAAAATGAATGATAAAAGTTTCATTAGACGTAGTTGTAGGTTACAGCTATATGTATCATGATAATTCGCCAAAAGACACGAATGATTTTTTTAATAATTTTTAAAAATGTCTCTCTTGTTTTTCATCTCTTCTAATTATCCTGAACATCTACAGCGATAGAATTAAGTGAAGTATGAACACAGACTACTTTATTCAAAAACTTTATCCTAGTAAGTAGGTTCATAGATTACTCCTGATATCTGGTATCACTGATATTAATTATTCTTGTCATTGTATATATTCATTCTGTTCACAGGCAACAAATTGAACGAGTGAACGTCAAGTTTAATGATGACAAACTTAGCTATCAGGAGAAGAATTACTTCAGATATTTGCCAGAGCAATCTGTTGGGGCGAACTTCGATAAGGTTTTCGTACCAAATTTACCATTATTGGTAAGTCATCGCTCACATATCTATTTATCTAAATTTATGCACCAGAAGTATGTAGAGAGTTATAGACTCTATGTGGATTTCCATCAGATAAACAATAAGATAGCAATTGATCTTCATTTATGTATCAGTTAGAATCTGTACGACATTAAAAACAATCTTTGTTTTTTTTAATTATAGAATAATTAAATATTAATACTATAATACTAATAATAATTTAATGCTATTTGGCGGTAGCCAATCTTAATAACTTTACCGGACGAAAAAGGGAGTAGGGGGATTCCAAAACCTCGAACCTTCGGAATTATGGAGCGGCTGAGGAGCAACTCCTACCTGAAGGATTCGACTTCAGTCAGAGGGCACCGCTAGGGTTTTGAACCTCAGTTCTACGCAAGTCCCGTTTGAATAGAATTCATCGGAGGAGAAAATCTTTGCGTGTCAATTCATATTTCTGACTGACTATCCTGCAATGGAAACACGGATACTAACAAGAAATATAATAAGAGAGATGTCGGTAGGCTCGAGCCCTTGGCACGTTGGATTCAAATATGAGTACACCCAACGAAATATGGGCATCTCATGTACAAGTATAGCGTTCACCACAACGTCGGCAGTTGATGAATGTCGTGACAGTAATTGTTTGCTTACGATTGGCAAAATTTAAATATAGTCCAAAAATATCATTTCGATTTCCTTAATATTATCTAACTTTAATAGAACAGTATTGTAGAAACATACGGATGATAATAAGATACACTAATTCACCAATTACCCACTTTGCTAACCAAGGTGCTATACAGCCAAGAAGCCAGAAAAGAGCTATTCACGGACCATTACGCCATAAATCGTCTATAACAAACGCATAGGCCATATAACCAAGGTAACCGAGTGAAATCCCCTCTTACCTGTTAGCACATTATAAACACAGAGAACATAACATTAGTAATATTACATAAAGACATTAAAATTCATCTCACCTTTCCATCGCAAGGCTTAATAGCAAATTATTAAATGCTTTAATTATCTTCCTTTTTTTCAGGGTCTAGTAGCAAAGACCAAAAGCATGGAATTGAATACTTTTCAGCAACTGACGTTGGAATCTCTACTAGTGAGCTTCGCAAAAAACCATGAAGCCTTCATCGAACTGCCTGTGCATAGGTAAGAGATTTTAAGTAATATTTAGGTATTGATATTTATATCTCCATTATTACCAACACATCAATGGGCATAAAGCATAATACCCAATAGCATTGTCTCGATTACTGTGGTTGTGGGAACGGATTTTATAGTTATGCCAGCTGACCCGTCATATGTTACGATCAATCCTTAATATTTATTATATTTGAACATTTTATTACACAAGGCTCGATTGAACGGTTGCAACTTATCGAATGCGTGAACCAGGTGGTGGTCAGTGATCGTGATAAATTTTTGGATAATTTGACTCGATGGACTAACTGACCTGACCTTATGTTCATTTTATCATCCTCTATCTATTAAAAAAACGTTTACGTTTACGTAGTTTTAAAGTTTTTAGCATACATAGGGACGGACAAACAGCGACAGCGACTATGTTTTATACTATGTAATAATGATTAGCACACATTACACACAGTACACATTACATAAAAAACCAAGTAGGTACATCGTTAATTTCTTTGCCATTCTCTTAAATAGCAAAGACTACTTACTTAAAAAAATTATTTTAAGTAGTGTTTGTTAATTAGGTATTTCTTTTACTTAAAAAAATCCAGATCCTCTTTAGATTTTAAAAGACATTTGAATGGTCTTTATCTACATTATTGATTTGTTGTCTTTCTGATAGGTTCCTATGGGGTTATGATGATACGATTATCGACACGGTAAAAATCTTCATGCGATGGAGAGGTGAGATGAAATTCAACAAATTTGGACTTCTAGCAACGGTACGTATTATGTTAAAATTTCGTTCGGAAATATATAAATATAAGTAGACTTTGTATAAAACCTAGCACTAGTACCTGTTTCTCACCGTTTTAGTTACCAAGTAGCCTGCTTTGTAAATAGTATTTCTATTTTTTTTTAATCCAGTAAGTACAGCAGTGTTGTTTAGAAAGTGAAGTCAAAGATGTGTCGCCTAGGGGAATATATAACTAGGCAATTTATATGTATTACGTTAGTGTTAATTTTTTATATATAGGTATATATTACTCTTGATAATATCAGTGTATATAATACATTTTGATTATTTAAAATACGTTAAATGCAAATATTATTTATGTATATACGCCAAACACTAATTAAAATACTTTGTGGAACCATTCAATGTTCAATAATTTATGTTATAATACTACCCGTACAGTTAAAGCTTGATGTGCCTATTGGTTATATCAACACATCTAATTACAGGATTATTACTGAAATAAGGGCATAAGTTGTAAACATAGAATCAGTGTCGGCTTTCCGTTCGTTCTTAGAGCTTTGGGCCCAAGCCCATTTTTTCTTGCCAGGAATATCTTCCCCAGCGATTTATGTATGTATAATACGTATTATATATGTATAGTGATTTTTTATAATATACATATGTACCTAGTCTCTAGTGCTGTTCATATAACATAGGCAACTCGGTTGGTAGTTACCATACCATCAGGTTAAATAAAAATAGAAAAGGATACATAATAATAATCCGGAACTATTTACACAGTGCCATTTATTCCCAAGTTAAGCAGCATGAGTTATTGATACTAGACAACTAATACAAATACTTAAATATATTTTTTTTAAATACATACATATTATATTATACGTAGAAAACATCCAGACAACCATACTAATGAATGTTTCGAGGAGCGAGGAATCGAACCTGCGACCATCAAGGCCAACACGTTTAACAGCACTCGCGGGTTACTGTACTGTAACAATTAACAATGTACTATAACAATTATTAATTAATCTAGATTCATACCAATCGCTGGCAATATTAATACTTCTATTATTGTTTTGATTATTTTGCTCTCTAAGTAACTTTGTACAATTGGTTTACTCAGCGAGCTAGCGACCTCAATAATATCAACACTCTGTATACATATACCAATATAAACTGGTTTATTTTATTATATATTCAGGCAATAATAACCTATAACAGTTAGTAGACTACTTGTGTGATTGTAGATTTGTACCATAGAAAAAATCAATTTAGCTACTTAAAATTAAAAAGCTTAAAAAATATAATATACCTAATAATAGAATATATTATTAAAAGGGGTCCCTTTAGGCAAAGTTCCGAAGATACTGTCAGCGTTCTCTCTTTGAATAGACTAATTCTTTGTCCAAGGTAGCTGCCAGCTCTTCGGTCTTCTATGATGATGATTATATTGTTTGATATATAAAGCCTCTTAGGCGAGACATAGATTAAATAAATAGAAACAGAGAAAATAATTTGTTACAATGTAATGATTTCCGCTCAGTTGCAGACGACTGTTTCCCTGACTATTCAATTTGTAATAAATTAATATGCGTATCTCACGTGTAACAATTTGTTTATAGAAAAATGACACGTTGTCCGAGCGACTGACCATCAACACGGGAGAGTGGAGTAAAGACAAAATGAATGTACTAGAGGGGGTGGAAGGCGAAGATCATCTACCGTACTGGGATAGTCCGTATTGTAACAGGTATGGCATTTTGGCTTGTGGTATTGCACTATAATTTATATGAAAGTCAATTTACTAGTAGTATATTGTTCCTGTGGCCTGGCGTGGCCTGGCCGGGAGTGGATGGATGCGGAAGGCGGAAGAGCGCACATGGTGGAAGTCTTGACGAAAGGCCTATATCCAACAGCGGATAAACACAGGCTGATAATAATGATGAAGATGATAATATTGTTCCTAGCATATAGGCATACCTTATTGTGAAAATATTTCAGAAAACTGTAAGAATATATTTACATAGAGCACCTTACTTAAAGAGCTACTTAAGCGGCTAAAGCGCTGTTTATTAGAAATCGATCACATTTAAAATCCATACTTGCTTATGATATTTTCCGTTTTCTCGACTATTACTCGTTTTCTTCATTCAGTCGTTTGATTGAAGAAGCAATGAATGAATTTTAGATAAATTTTATCTTTTATCTAAAATGCATCCAGTCGGAAAAATTGGTGACAATTTCGGTATATATCGATTGTGTCGTATACACAAATTGAATCGTATATATTCTCAAGGAAATGATAATATACTGATTACGATTTGCTTAAATTAGGGCTTAAATTATGAGTATGGCCATATTTTATCTTAAATAAGCAGAAAATGTCACTGCTATTGTAGCTAGCACTGTTGTATTTACTGTAGGTAGTAATCCTATCATTTTATAACATACCATAGTATTTTTTTTTTATCGAGTGATCAAAATATAAAATATTTGTTAGGTATATGATCTGTTTATTGAAATGATAATTAATTCAAGGTAATTGTAGGTTACATATACAGTATCAATCAAGTACAATGTTGTACAGTATCTGAAACAGTAAAATTAATGTAATATAAAGTAGGTATAATAATTATATCATATACAACTCGAGGGAAAGACACCATATAAAATTATTGGCGTCTGAAAAATTTAGAACAGTCTGAACTTTTAAACTCTATTCTTTTTTACCGCCGCACTCAGAGATGTCTAATAACTTAAACAATTCCTTAGACGTGGACGTGATCGTTGAAAACCATTAAAGACAACAAACAAATTAACTCGTAATTATGTATTTTATAAGAACTTTCATTTAATCAGTGGTGTAAGAATAATGTGAAGATAGAAAAAACAAACGACGATCGTACTCTGTAGAATACACAGTTCTCTATTTGAAAATTATAAAAAAAAATACTAAAAAGTTTTAATAATTATTTTTTGTCCATTGCTCCATAAGCAAAATATCAAAACTTAACATATAGTGTTTAATATCTCAATGGACCCTAGACAAAATCAACATAATACTCTTTACAGATATCTTACGAATTAATTTACTATATTTTATTGTAAACCATATTTTATGACACAAATTGAAATTAACTATGTCAATCACTAATATAGGTAATGATATAAATTGAATTATCTGATTTGTCTATGTCAATTATAGAGTAATAACAAAGAAATATTTATTATACCTACCTAGTTACTCCAGATAAAACGCTCCGTAACAATATAGTTTAATATCGACTACATTTGTATACAATATATCTGTATATTCTATTTAATTGGACGTGTACATGCAATTGATAATAACTTCTTCCTTATTTATTGATATAACTTCACGATATAAACGCTAATGCTTCGAAATAACTAATGTTATATATGCATTTCTATAATTTACATACGAATGAAATGGGGTCTGACCTGTCCCATATAAAGGGCGGCCCAACGCCGCCTGAGTCGCGGTTGAATGCTAACGCGACTAGCTCGTGGCATCGCAACCGTGTGGTTTTTAGTGGGTAAGAATATCACAAACCTCCTCGTCATCTAATAATAAGTCACTCCAGTCTCTACAATACAGGCTGTACTGCGAGCCTAGTGTAGAACTACAGTAAATTAAAATGTAACTGTGTATCATGAATAAATATTATTATTATTATTATCTCTAATAAGAAGGCGGTCTCACAAACAATCATACTTATGAATACAGCTGATTGAACTATGCGATCGAACCCGCAACAAGCAGAATTAATGTGGTATGCTAAACCGCTAGATCATTGAGGCTGTTAAATATTTAACTCTCCATTTTCATCCATTTATAAACCTAGTAACTACCAATAATAATAAATATGTCACGAACACAGGAATATTTAAATATAAATTATTGTAAAAACAATGATCAAAGGCCTTTTAATTTAGCAAAGATATTGTGTAAGATACGTGCAAACAATACAGTCGAATGGATATTAAGAATATTCCTCTTATATGTAAGTAACACATACCTTTATGAATTTTTTAGTGGGTAAGAATATCTCTAATAGGGTGACGGCCTTTTGAAGATCTTTACATACGATAAAAAAGGGTGTATAGCTAACGCCTTGGAGCACGAAAGTCCCATAAGATAGTCTGACTATATACGCTTATTGCTAGACACCACGTTCTATGACGCCCTTCTTTTTGAAAAAGACCAATACAGATAGAAGTATGTAAGCAGAGAAAAAGTCATTCTGCGGGGCTGTCACAGCTTTCAGGAATGAGCATCTAAGAGAGTATCATACGCAATTCCATGTACCTACATCCCAATTACAATATTTCGTCTTAGAATTATATATATAATTATATGATACATATAATAGGTGCTATACTTCACATGTTTTTTCACAATAGAAGTTAGTCTAATATCTGTCCATTTCTAACAATCTATTGAATTTTAATTGCTGTACTTGAAATATACGTACTAAGGGACGTATGTATGTAGAAATACTCAGGGGAAGGTATTTCCGCGAAATAATTGTGTATATAAACACATTATGTTACAAAAATCCACTACTTAGAAAACTGGATTTTATAGTAGAATACAAGAAAACAAACTTGGACCAAACAAAAGGAAGACCAATTTTATCTCTTTTGTGACTAGATATATGATTGTCCAGTGGTATATTGGTTGTGCTCAATGAGAAATCTTTGAATATTGTAGATATATGTATAATTGAGTTCATAAGTTTATCTATTTAGATAACAGTTGAGTTTCTACTAGAATCAGAGACGGCTACAGGGTAATGGGGAAGTATTTAAACTGAAATATTGCTGTCAGCCAACCAGCGTTGCCAGCCCCCAAAATTGGGATGCCCCGATTTTTAGACCAACATTAAATGTCCCGCGAGGATAAACCCAGTTCTGTTATTCTGAATGATCTGTCGCGAAGGTCCCAAACCCTGATGATATATGTTCCACAGATACTACTGATTATATGTATGGGACATACAAAAATATCTATCTTTTTACACAAAAGACCCACCCAGCCTGAAAACAATGTAATACATGTTACATATGTATTTATCTGCCTGTTCTAAGTACTCACGAGACCTATTTTAAGACCATGCATATGTCTGCACTCTGTGCCCGCCACTTCATTTACGCAGCGCACGCAACGAAAGCCCTCAAATATTAATAATTTTCTCCGTTTTTGCATCATTTTTCACTGATGCTTCTACTGGTCGAAGCGTCATGTTATAAAGCCTTCCTCGACAAATGGACTATCCAATACAAAATGAATTTTTCAATTCGAACCAGTAGTTCCTGAGATTAGCACGTTCAAGCAAACAAACTCTTCAGCTTTATAATATTAGTATATGTATGTAAGAACCTACTGTTTCTTTAACTCTTTAATGACGTCAATACAATCAATAAAATAACTCTTTCAAGATCATCTGCATGGGTACTTGTGTCTCGCATATTTCAACCGCTAAGCAGCTTGCTTTGTAAGATGTGTTTCGATTCATGGATGAGATATAACAGAGATATATGGAGGTATCATATTTTGGTCCTCTGCAATGGCAACGAATGAGGATCACTGCCGTAACACAACTACTTGATTTCGTGGTGCTGTTCGTGTATATACGCGACAGTCGCCATTTATTATCAGCTGCACACCTGATAATAATAAGATTGTTTGCAATTCCAGTTAATTAAAAAAAAAACAACTTGTACGCTGAATTAAAGATCAGCACAAGTCACTAAAATGTAGATAATTTACAAGGGTCTACTGTATCTGATAACTCTATATGCAATATTAAATAATAATAAGTTTTATTGCTATTTTCACCGATATAAGTAAATGACAAAGAAATATTCCGATAAGCTACCGATATTCTTTAATGAATAAAATTTAAGTATGTGTACTTCTACATAAACACATTAAGAGAAAAATTAATACCTATTTGCTTTTGTAGGTATTTCGACACAATACCGTCAGTAATTATCTGAGAGTAATAACATAATTATCACAGTAATTATGTAAAAATGTCACTTGTATATACATAAACTAAGAAATTAGCTCTTTCATTTTGTAATGTCATCGTTTAATCGAGGTAGACTGTACAAAGTCATTCGCGTGGGTGCCACGCCTTATTCTGACATTAAACAGATCGTTTTGTTCTAGGCTGTTTTTAGCTTTAAATGAAGAGATATAATGATATATTAATAGCAATAATAAAATAAGTAAATTAAATTAAGTCGATTCACACAGCGCCATCTAGGCCCAAGCTAAAGAGAGTTATGGGTACTAGACAACTGATGTAAATACTTAGATATTTTTTAAATTCATTATTTACATAGAAAACACCCAGACAAATACAAACAATCATACTCATGAATAAAGATGTTCAAGTGGAATTAAAACGGTGTGTCAAACCGCTAATCCACCGATTCATTTTCCATTTTCATCCATTTATAAAACTACAATAGTAGATAATAAATATGAGACGAAAACAGGAATACCTACCAAAATATAAATTATTGTAAAAACAATGATCAAAGTCCGTTTAATTTTAGTAAAGATATTGTCTAAATATATAAATACATGCAAACAATAAAGTCCAACGGTAATTAAGAATCTTCCTCTTCTTTTTTGTGTAAGTGGAAAATTATATGTAGGTAACATATACTTTCATGAATTTAGAAGATTTAGTCATATATTGCCTTAGCAATGTAAGAATATAAAATATAAGGTGCAAAGAATTGTTGACAAAATGGTTTTGTTTTCGGACTACTCTAATGTTGTTAGCCGGTTGGCCGTTATAGCTTCACCGGAGGGACTTATGGAGCGGCTGAAGGCCAATTCCCGCCTGACCAATACAACCTTAGTCTGAGGGCACTGCTAAGGGTTCGAACCTCGGCTCAAGCCGTCGTAATTTCGATCCCGTTTGAACTGGACGAAGGATTGATCGGAGGGGCAAACAAAGTAGGTGTGGCTAATCACTACGCTCAGAAACAATAACATGCGGTAGAATATGTAAGAATTATTAACAACTAGCTGTACCCGCGACTTCGTCCGTCACCTTGATAATGAATAAATAGTCACCTTGACTAAATAATTCAAAATAATTTAATAACATATGACAGCCATATAAAAAAGTTTGAACGTTCAAAAATGACGAAGTTCAATAAAAACTTTCATCCTCTATTTTATTTTAAGGGTAAAATTTTTACCAACTTTGAATGTGACATTTATTTATAAGTATTTAATCAAGAGCCTAAAAAATAAGTTTTAAACTTCTAGCTTTAAAAATGACGATTATTCCATACAACCTTGCATCTCCCCTTTCAACGCCTTTCAACCCTTTTTCGCCTTAAAAAGTAGCATATGTCCTTTCTCAGGTTCTAGACAATCTATGTACCAAATTTCAATCAAATTGGTTTCAGTAATTTTGGTCTGAAAGCGAGACAGACAGACATACAGAGACACTTTCACATTTATAACATTACTAAGGAGTAAGGATTACTTATCACTATAAAAATATACGTAAAAGTTAAACATATACAGAAATGTTTCAAATTATAACCTCGACGAGAGTTTAACTACTAATCCACCACTGTCAAAGTTTAACAATGTAGGTAGACAAAACAATATCGGATTGCTGAGGTCGAAAGTTTATACAATTCAGTGATAAATTAACTTGCAATAATATTAGCAATAATAGTTTTTTAGTTCGTACATTTTGATATCAGTTGTTATGGCGCCCGAGACTTAATCAACGTAGGTACTTATTAAAATGATAAACTCTGAATCCGTGATGAAAGGAACACTCTAGACCTGCTGATTAAAATAATAAAATATATTTTCACCCGCAGTTCAAGCTTAAGCGGCACGTGTAGGCATTGTGAATCGCCTCCCAGTATCAAATCGGTTTGGAAATACAATGATATTAGTCAGGTGCTTGAACCTGTAGCACTGCGACCTACATAGATTGTGCTCACCCTTTTTCAGAGTTCACTACCTAGACCCGTTAGTAACAAGAATTGAAAGATATATTCAAGAGCGATGGTTTTTATCTCCTCAGGATAGAGTGTAAACTTTCCAAAGGTGCTATTACGTTTATTGACTCTATGTGTGGGCTACAATCACATAGGATGTGTAGGAGCGTTTTTTCTTCAATTTGCCAAAATCTGCTTTTATTTTTATTAAGATATATAATATATACCATAGATAAAAGACCACTAGATATACCACGTGCGCTGTAGCATGGTGCAGGTGACAGTATCAGTAACGTTTCATTAGACTCTTAAAAGTTGCCGCCACAGTTGAAAATTTACAAGTTATGACTTAATATTTTAGCTGTACGACAGTCGTAATATATTAAATCATTAATAACTGTAGTAACTTAAAATTAACCCAGCCAGAATGTTCTAGTCTACTAATCAAGGCAACTGTCACCCGCACCATGCTACAGTGCACATAGTATAACAAACCTGCAATTCATAGGGTGTTGGAATGCGCATGGACGGTGATAATCTGTCACTATCCAGTGTGCCTCAAGCTTGATTGCTCCCTATGCTATAAAAAAATATTGAATAGGCAAAATTGACTCCAATAAATTAAAACCTTCACAAAATTTTTACGGGGCCAGTAAATAGAAATAAATCTTTATTCAAACAAACTTAATATTCATTATTTTACGACTCATTCGGAACGCAGTCTCATCATAAGAAGAAAGATTAAAAACTTGTGTGTTGATCTTTTAAATAAATGTTTTTTTAGTAAATACACAATAACAAGGATTAGGCATGCGACAATTAATATAGAAACAGCTACGTATTCGATCTTTATTCAATCGGATGATATTAAGTTTAAGTTAAGTGTTATTAATGGAAAGAAAATAATAGAAATTTGCCATTTAATTGCGATTCAGTATTAAAATAGCGGTCGATACAGACAATAAATTGTTATAAATTTTTTATTCTTATAAAAAAAACCTTAGGAATCTTTTTTATTAACACTCGTTTGAAAATATTTAAATATTATTTTATTACAGTATCGAGGCTACAGACGGAACAATATTCCCGCCAGTTATGCTGGACAAGAAATCAACGCTTCATGTATTCTATCCGAATTTGTGTCGTCGCCTGCCTTATATATTTGATAAAGACGTAGAGGTAAGACGGAATTTCCTTATAACAAATCGCCAACATTTATCACTATTTGAACCGATACAGTATTACACAATATCTGAGGGTCATATTTTACTGCGAAGTCGCTTGTATATTACATGTTTTTAATGAAATAGCGAACAATATAGCAATTTGCATGATGAACCGTGGTTACAATTAATAATTTACAATCTCCTGTAGTCATGAATACCCCACAAACAACAAAATATATACATACCTACCTACTTTTCACTTGAAATAAAGGCAGAAGTTACGAAAGCATAAGAACTTAATCCTCAGGTTGGATCCTGAGTAAAGCATAAGAACTAGTAATGGTGTCACAATGTATGTGATGCTGTTTATTTTTTAATAGTAGGTAATATAAGTACTTAAATTCTATACATACCCTCACTCATACACATACATTCCGCCAGATAGAGGGTTTTATGCACACAAAGTATCATATATCATATATATATATCATAATATACTTTATGCTATGCATGCATGAATATCACAAACATGAATATTTTTAGCCTAGTGTTATAGAATCAAATGTTTATTAAGTTATGTTTTCTGAAATAAAAGTTATTCTATTCTATTTTAAGACGTATAATTTAGTGCACGGAGAGAACCAGGAGGTCTGGAATAGAAGTTTCTGACATAGTTCAAACTCCAAACTCTTACAAGGAATAACTTGAAAGTTTAAACATAATTTACGATTATTGTAAGGTTTCTTTTCTTCTGAGAAGTAACTAAATAACTCATACATTCCATCATATTCATCCAATTTAATAAAAATATGTTACCATAATCTTATATTATCAGGTTGGCGACATTCCACTTCTCCGATACAAGATGCCAACGAATGTGTTCGACGACCCTAGTGGGAACCCTGACAATCAGTGCTACTGCCAATTGGACACGGGAATTTGTCCGCCCAAAGGTGTCATTGACGTCTCAGCCTGTACAATGGGTGAGTGTATGATTCAATTTTTTGATACTGGTTGCCGCGCTTTCATCCTTATGAAATTTATAGCCTATGTTATTCTGATGTATCATATATTACTGTAAAGTTTCCCCAAAATCCGTTCAGTAATTGTTGTAAGAATTAAGCGTAAATTGTCCTGAGTTCTTATTATTATAAATACTCGTATTATTGAGGCCAAAATTGGTTGGTTTGGTGTAGGTCGCTGGAACTCAGCTGTCAGGTAATCCATCACAAGGTTAAATAGCAATGAGCCGAGAGCAGATCCTTAGTGTACTCCGACTTTTATATGGAATTCGTTTCTGGTTACTGCCAGGCAAGGTACTTTGGTGTGACACTTTCGTACATGTCAGTTAAAATTTTAATATAACATTCAGGTACACTCTACGATCGCAAGGCCTGCCAAATCAATGGTCTAGGGATACGGTCGAAGGCTTTCTCCAGATCTATGAACACCAGATATAGGTCTCTCTTAGCGTTTCTATGACAGTCTGTTAAGATCCGAATAGTATGAATTCCGTCAGTAGTTGATTTCCCTGAGACAAATCCACAATGATTTTCTGTCACACTGGTTAGTAGACGTAGTCTACCTGATTACTCGTTCCCAGATTTTTAGGCTATGTGACATCAGTTTTATAGCTCCGTAGTTTTCGCATAGGTAATCTTACATAACCGTTGTTTTCGTAAAACGGAACCAGAAAAGTTTTCCACCTCTCATCAGGAATTCCTTCTAGTGGAAATTTAATGAAAAGCATAGATAAGAAATAATCCTCATCGCCTAGTTCTTTCCACTATTCAGCTGATATATCATTAGGTCCAGTCACCTTATTGTTATGTAGGTAATTAATTAATATGATAATAACAAGATACTAATTTACTTTCTTGCCCACAGTTCTCAATTAAAGCAGTTAGCCGCAGTATACGCTAGAGTAGTCATAGATTTTTTTTAATATACATTTCACTAAATATTTTTACTTTAACTATGGTTTTGGTGTTACCACAGATAAGATACATAATCTTACAAAGTATAAGAAAATATTCTATATCTTGATAGTCGTACTTATTGTTTGCTACAAACTTTTCGAGAACTTTAATCTGATTTATAAACATTGATTTAATATGTTGCAATTACAATATATGCTCTTAATTCCTCAGGTGCTCCAGCCTTGGTATCCTTCCCCCATTTCCACTTGGGCGACCCGCTACTCCGCGAGAATGTGAGCGGCCTGCGTCCAGATCCTGCATTGCATGAGTCTCACTTTGATATACACCAGACATTGGGCCTCACTCTTTATGGGAAATCCAGGTAATTGATTACCAAATTCAGTAGCAATCCATTGTCATTAAAGAAAATTACTACCTACCTATTTGGACTTTTTATAGTATTCTTCAAGAAACATGCATTGACCGTATTTTTCTATAAATAAGTACAACATAATAACTGTATTTATTATTATTCTTTATAATTTCGTCTCTATGGAAAACTTTTTTATGGAATAAAACACATTTCTGATATGTATCAATTTATTTCAGTTTACAAATCAACGTCGAAGTTAAAAACACGCCACCATTCACATCCGTTGGATTTCTGCAGAAAGGAACAATTTTACCAGTTGCCTGGCTTGAAATGGTAATTACAAAAATACCTTAATTCAAGTAATTAGATGATTATTTATTACCTTTCGAAAAAAATTACTGCGTAGACACTATATCAACTAAAAGTACTGTAATCAAACAAGAACCTATGCAATTACTAAGCGATTTCGATTTTCTTTGAAATCTGGAGTAATACAATAAGCAGCCGACGACAAAGTAGGAGCAAAACGGCGTACAATCGGATTGATGGTACGCTTATGTATCTATATGACAAACAAACTGACGGCCCACCTGTTGGAAAATAATGATAGTAGGTACTACTTTATATCAAAATTAATTTGTGACTTTCGTGATACCTCTCGCAGCTATTCCTGGGTATTCTTAAACGAAAATTCAACTTACAAAGTAAGATCCTTGGCGAAATTAGGTACCCATATCTGTCTCGTCAATTTCTGCCCGAACAGACGACTTTATAAAAATCTTCATCGATTATGCGATGACTTTATACTTAAGCTGAAAACACATTTCTTTATTTGCAGAGCGTTACGGAACTACCAGAGAGCATACGGACCCTAATATACCACGGCACCTACTCCACAGCTGCCATACAACTTGTGATTAGAGTAATATGCATACTCTCACTGATCATATCCGCGTTATGCTTATTTACTTTAATTTTCGGCAGAAGACCGAAACCGTGCGTTTCAATACACCATAAACCTGAATTAGAAAAAACACAAGTGTCTTGTTCCTGAGAAGATAAAGGGCAATATTCTGTGATTTTTAATGACTTTCTTCAGTATCAAAGTGCAAAATTATATAAAGATCTATAGCGAATTTAATGTTTTTACCCGCAGTGCATATACTTTCATTTGCACTGTTTACATCATGATTTTATATATGGAAGCAAATGATTCAATATTCGAAATAAGTTGAAAGTTTATAAGATTCAAAAAGGCATGCCACCCACACTATAGCAAATACAATTTAGAACAACAGACGTTCTATCGTAATGTCTGTTCGCCTAAGACGTGATTTTTTTTCAGATAATAATGCACGTTTAACTACGTTATAGTAGTTGATCATTATGTTAACAACAACAAATGAAGTAATTAACAACGATCAAAATATCTATAATTTCTCAGGTTTTGTCAGATCTTAAGTAGTCTGTACTTGGTCACCTACTGGGTTTTACCTAGTATAAAATACTGCCTAGATGGCACTGGTATCTCATAATTCAGGGTTTCGCTAGTCCTAAAACCGGATTTATTTGCTAATGCTATTGGCTGTAACTGCTCTTTTCTATTGGCGGGGTGAAAATAGTACGTTTATTAATGTGATTGTGTGCCTCTTATAATATTTTATATATTTTGTTCAACAATTCTAGACTTGAAATGTAGATAACTGTACCTAGTTTCATTTTATTTGCATGATTTTGAATTTATATTAGAATATTTTGAATGGATAGATGTTGGTTCTAGGTATTAGGTAGATATATTATAGTGGCCAGTAACTAATAGAGTACAAAGCATCCAGACCTAGATTAAAAAGATACCAGATTTATCTGGCAACATTATAATGGAGTAATTGACCATTGGATTAAATTATTCTTTCTGATTTGTATTAATTTACTATATAAAAATAAACTTATAACAATTTTGTTAAATTATATAATTTAATAAAAACATTAAAATGTATGCGTAACAGAGCATTTGAAAGTGTCCTGTCTACAAACAAATAAAAATCATTTATGAAACGAGACATTACATAGCATCAATATTATTTTATGGGACTGCACTAGGACTATATGTAATTACTTATATTTTTTTACTAGTGGAATGGACGGTACTTTTCTAAAACGGTCTACACACAACTATCAAATGCGAGGTAATATCGGAGCAATGGTGGTGTGCTTTAAATCGGCTCAGAGGGCACATGTGGCGATCTAGGAGATGCTACTCACCACAGTTTCGATATTAGCCGTGATATTGGTGTTTCGTGTAGCCCATTTAACACTGTTTACATGGAGAAGTAATCCAATTTAGCTGTGATTAGCCGATTGGCAATTAGCGGATGCATGATTGGTCTCTGCACAGAGTGGCGTGTGAAAAATAGCTGTGATTGGTCGATATTTTTTACCAGTTTAAAAACTAATGCAAACGTTTTTAGATTAATTATTTGTAGTCGTTAATCTATGGGGGAAAGTATATAAATGGCAACACCGTCGTTGAAGGATATCGTTTTTCTCTTTGCTTTTTTCTTTATCATACGCTGCAATCTACACTTCAATTGCATACAAAATCGTCAAGATAACTTCATACATGATTAAATTATTCAAATTAAATTAGTTTAGTAGGTACCTAATTAGTTTTTATACAAATTTGTACGAATTTATATAATTTTTCCTCATTTATGTAATGTCTATTAAAATTGTCACGTTCATATGATTCTGATAACTATACTATATATATATTATTATTCCCATATTACTAAACATATTTGACTCTTCCATATGCGCCATTAACTTTTGATATAGACAAGGAACATTTAGTAATACAGATATACAAAGTAAAATTCTATTATTTTAAAATATATAGGTCCCTATGTACCTACTTACCATCAAATCTATTTAACATTCCTATATATGTAAGTACTAAAACTACTATTCATATACTACTAAAACATTTTAATGTATACTGTTACCGTCAATAAAAGGACTTAATTGATCTATCAACTCACAACTGAAAAGGCATAGTATCTACTAGACTCAAAATTTCAAATAGGTTCCTATTATTATGTGAAAATAAGAAACCACTTTCAGAAATTTTCACTTGAAGATGATGCAAGAGAAAGATTTTAGGCAATTTCAACAGAATGTGTTTACAGAAAAATGTAAATGAATTATTTATGATTTATTTTGACTTAGAAGATTATTTAAGTTAAGTATTTTGTTTACATAGTAAAGCTCTATATAACTAATAAAGAATCATTATGCCAATGTTAGGTGCCAGATAATATTTTTAGGTAATAAATCCATAAATACAAGTAGCTAACAAATATTGTTATTTATTATATATATTTTCTAATTTCTGAATTCTTAATTACCGATATGCCTACTTAAAATATTGTGCATAAGTTAAGAGCCAAATAAATTTGTTTTTATAAATTAAGAAATAATGTAAGTAAATCATGTTAAGTATAGTTAAGATTCGGAATACGGATAGGTGGAAAATTGGTGATATTACAGAAATAAAAATATCGAGGTATCAATGAAATTTTACAATGAAGTAAATATCCCCTTATAAATAAGTTGTAAGCATAATTTGTGACATTTTGTGTTCATTATTTACATTTTTGCAGTTTTGTAAATTATAAATTAAGTATACGTCTAAGTTTATCCATTGCCTTTTATTTTCTTAATTGTTGTCACTTTTTTAATAAATAATAAAATAATAAATGTTAACAAGATTTAATTTGATTGTCAATCAACATGGTTGGTTGTTTGATTATAGAAATCCATACAACCACAGAGCAATTTAATTAATTAGAAAACTGTTAATAAATAACATTTAATAAACTTCTTTGTTGTAAATCGTACATTAATTGTATGTTCCCTAAACTTTATAAATGTCTAATCGCATTCTACAAAATCAACACTATAAAGGATATTATATAAGCACTACTTAGACACATAGTAACTTGGTTTAAAATATAGTTTTTTATGTAATTGGAATGCCAAACATTTCGCCTATCGTCTATTTACATGAACAGCACTACGCATGACGTTATCATATGACACTCGTTATACCATTCATGCAGTGTTATTCCAAATCCTATGACGATTAAGATGTCATGCCACTTATGTTGAATGTAATTTCACCATACAACGAAACCAGCAACGCAAACTGCATGGCAGCTGAAATACAGCTAGACTTAACAAAGCTTATCTAAAAAAAACTGGAATACTAACGATGTGTAAACATTTTCATTCAAATCCGTTCAATAAGTTTTGCATGAAAGACTATGACAATATTTTACCAATAGTATACCGAGCAAACGTGTTCACAAGGAATATGTTGCATCACTTAACAGAAAAACAGAAAACTGTTAATGCATCACCTGTCCGGTTTTGCACGGGTATTTATCAAACTTTTCCAAAATTATAAATATTAACACACGCCCATACGTCGCAGATTACTAAAAAAAATATAGAAAAAACATAAATGAGTAGTCATTGTGACATACTCGTAACTAATAATTAGACTATAGTATGGTATAAACATCTATTTTTATAGATGTTTATACGCTCTTCTACCATAGAGTATTTTGATTTTTCACAAGTTTTCTTATGCATCACTAACGTATTAGGGATAAGCATGTAGGATTCAAAAGGTGAGATTGTTTTTTAAATTGCGTAGTTTCGTAGCCTATTCGATGCAAGGAACGAATCTTTTTATAATTTTAATATAGTTGCGAAGTGGAATGTAATATCAATATCATCAATAGTATACATACCAATTTTTATCAGTTGCTTTAAAAAAAACCAAGAACGTTATATTGTTATACAAATGAATTCAGTCATGTTGTCTAGCAGATTTCCAGCAAAATATTGGCCACAGAATTTGATAGCATACTCGCATCTGGTAATTATTTAAACTCAACTGCCATATCGTGATTCCATTTCCATTCATGGTACTACTAATGCACTTTTGTAAGGTGTGCGTGTCAATCGAGCATGGTGTGAAAATAAAACAAAAACAGTTTTCCACATATTATATTATAAACTTAAACGCTTTCTTGTACAGGAGGCTCGTAACCCTCGGGGCGTTCAGACTTATCGCCGACCTCCCCGCGTTTACCGCTGCCGCCTTCACCGTGCAACTCCATAAGCTTAGCGATTTCGAAACGTGGCCTCTTCAGTACTTTCACCTGAAATATAGACTCAGTTCAGTAGACGTAAAGATGGTTTTTGAATAAAGATAAAAGAAGAAGAAAGATGTCAGTAGTAAATCAAAAGGGAACAAAGTGTTCATCATGTGTGTAGTCATTGCGAGCTAGGTGTATCATCATTTGTACAACTTTTAATATATTATATTAATTTAAAACAATTTATATGAAGTTTTTTAATATTATTCCTCATTCTAATCTATAACATTGTCTGCATTGTAACTACATGAAATACATGAAAATAGATTCTAGACGTGATTCCATTTAATTAACACTAAATCCTATGAATTATATAACTAAGATAACATGATTACTAACTTTTCGGATGCAAACATCCCTGAGTGGGTAAATTCCGTGGCAAGCCTTTTCGATATCCTTAGCAATGGAGTCAGGGATAAGCTTGTTGACAACTTCCCGCAGTTCAGAGCTGGTGACGTCGCGGGTAATGATTTCACACATCTTCTTTCTGATAGCACGTACCTGTAATAAAATATAATAATGTAAACACTCCAAAAAACTTATTTTATATTGTATTTATTCGGTCAGAAATTATCCACAGTTACAATCTCGTTAAATAAATTACAAACTAATGGAGTGTGCCATCTGATGGAGATACTTTTAATCACAATTAATGATGAGAGACTTAAGAATTTTTAATTACTAATTCATCAACTGATAATATTAAATATCACTATTTCCAAACTACAATAACATTAATGTTAAAATTATAGTGAATACAAACTCAGAAAATCTTACATACCTACATCAATTTTAAAAAATATACCTATTTGCAATGCTAGGTTCGTAGGTTATAAAAAATTAGATATCCTTATAACTCGCTTTGTCTTTGAACAGCTGCTATAAAACTACTTAGAGAAAGGAACTTTTCTATACTTGTGTATAGTATAATCATGGAGTGTGTAGCAGCCTCACAAAAAGCCGGCGGACCCCCGCGAGCCGCGTTCGTGTTGATGCCACGATACTGTATGCAGATTACAATAGACAACCATAGACAAGTTTAGCTTTGTCTACGACATTTCCAACTGCAGCTTTTGAGCCATTCTCAATTGAATTATAATAAAAAAATATATCTATTTCATTACATATTTGCTGTAATTATTAACAAAATTAGTACCAACATCAAAAAGCCTATATTTCGTAAGCTAAATGCGTAAAAAAAATTAGTGGCCATTTATTGGTTCATACTGAACATATAAAATGATTGATACTCATCAATTTTAATTGCAAACAAACTACATAAAGCATGTTCAATTTGTTTGCAATAAAAACATAGACAATTATAATATATTATATACACATATACATAGATACTGAAAACCTTCCGATTTAAAAAATAGTTATATAAAAATCTCCTTATACATATCACCATAGGTTTCAATTTATAAATGATTAATCAATTTAATGTGGAAATTAAAATACCTGGGTGTGCTGAGCGTAGCATGTCTTTCGCTGACTGAGAGTATCCTTGTTGGTAAAGCCGATGCAGAAGACACGGAGGAGGTATCCGTCGGTGGTCTTCACATCAATATTGGCCTCGACAAGGGTTTGCCATTTCTTAACCATCCACCTGAGTACAAAGATATCAGATGAATAGATAGATCGAAGCTCACAATCTAGTGGTTGTTGTCACACAACTTTAAAAGTTGGGTCATGCTTTTGCAGCTTCACCAGACAATAAATTAGGGCGAATGCATGCACGAATTGGCACTACAAACACGCGAAAGGAGTTATAATGTCGTAATTTCGATTCTCATTGTTCCCTACCCAGGCTACAATTATAAATGTAACCTTTTAAAGATTCAGGCGGGAAGTACCTCAGATTGCTTCCTGTGAAAGCAAATTACAAATGGTTATTGTTAATATTATTCTTCATGACGATTTGTCAACACAAGAAGGAATCTAGGCAGTTATATAGGGTGGCCACCACCACTACTTCAATATCATTGAATTAAAAGGTAATATGTAGAAGATTTAAGAAATCACACTAAGTTCTTGTTATAATCCATGTATTCATTGTAGTAATGACATGAAAGACCTATATACACAAGCATAAAGGCACTACATCATGTGACAACATTTACTATCTGCAGCTTGAAACGATATGAAGACCAGTTGTAGTCTACATATAGCTGGGCTGCAAGTTGTACATTTACACAACCTGTCAAAATGGCTGAAGAAGGTTGAAGTTGAAAAAGAATTAAAAATCAATTGATGTTGAGTGTCTAGTGAGTTTGCATTCTCAAAGTAATCATACTTAATTTTATTTTATATCCAACAATATGAGACAGTTTTCTTATAATGATGAAAAATGAATAGATAAGATCAATCAATCCAATGAAATTCAGTATTGAATTGCTAACACTGTTTAATTGTAAGCTTACCTGAGCTTGTCAGTAGTGAGGTCCATGCCATGGAAGTTGCAGAGAACATTGCGACCCTGCACATCCTCAGCAATCAGGCGGAACTTGCGGAACGATCTGATATAAAAGTTTTAAAGTTGTAATGTATATTAACTTTTAAAGTGGTTTTGAATTGTAGTCTAAAAATATGTTGGCTGTTTTGAATATAACTTTGGAAACTTTATGTAAACGAAGTATAATTTTATGTAAACAAGGCTACAAAACAAAATTATTTGTTTTGCTCTAGTATAATACTAGACGCAAGTCTTGACTTTCAAGTGTATATTTTAAAACATTTAATTTATGAGATTTGTGTGGTAGTTTCAGTGACAAAAATAGATATTAAATGTAATAAATTTAAATTTTATATAAATGTTGCAATGACATAAAAGTCTAACTACAGGTTGGTGTAGAAAGGTACTTTATGTGACAGCTTATGTTATTTGCAGTTTGAAACGATACAAAGACCATAAAGTATACCTTCATATAGCTGGACTGCAAATTATAATTAATAACTATGCTTGTTGAAATTAACATGATTAATCTTTTTAAGATACTATATAGAACTATTGCTATTTAAACCAACTTAAATATTATAAAGATGCTATTTTTTTAGTTAATAAATATACATTTTTAATAATGAAGGATATTGCAATGCATCAGGGATGCAATCGCAGTCAAGCAGGATGCAATCAGCAATATTCTGGCAGAGCACCAGTAGAGGATGATGAGATGAACTTGAGGTTGATCTGATATGGGACAATGCTTGCAATGAAGTGAACAGGCCACTTTACTAACAATCACCCAATGACTAAAATGCAGTCAATAATTGATACAAACCTTTCAGCATCAGTGTCAGCTTGAAGGTCGGCCAGCGAGACTTCAAACACGCGGCCTTTCAGTCCTTCTGACGCGATTTTTGTACCCTGTGAATTTCAACAGGTATTAAGCATACTGTTTATGACAAATAATTAGTAGTAAGTTGAATACTGTGTTTATTCAGCAGTAAATCAAAAGGGAACAAATGTTTTCATCAGTTCTGTGTCATTGCGAGCTAGGTGTGTCATCATTGAGAAATATAATTGCCATAATTCTCACTTTTGTAATAAAAAGCTGGCAAAGTAAATAATGTTACTTAGTTACACATCTATACCTTTCCATAATTATAACCTTTTTTATTCTTTATTCTGCATTGTATATTCCAAAATTATGTGCTCCATAAATGTCTTATCCTTAGCAAAAATGTTTTATAAAATGGCTAAATTACACCATGTGGTCATATTATCAGAGCCTCAAGAACCATAAAAATACGTTGACATGAAAAATGCACTAAAATTAGACTACAACAAAAATATTGTATAAATTGTGGTAGTATATCTGTTTAAAAGCAAATGTGCAAGGTAATTATTTAATCAAACCTAAGGACATTAAACTGCAGTTACCTTAAATCTGTGACCAATGGGCAAATACCATGATTTTTACTGAATAGTTAACGTGAGCATGACAAAACAAACCAAAATACACAATATATATTACTTAGTTTTTTAAAAATACCTACTGACTTTAATTTTCTTTGAACTAAATTTGATTTTTATATTGCAGGTTATGTACTCACTTGGGTACGGTTGACAAGGGTTGTGCCCACTTGTCTCTTGGTGAACATTGACGGTGCCTTAACATCATACCAGTCCTTGCGTGTGAAGGGATCAACGCTGAAAACAAAAGAAAAATGAATAATAGATAACCTCATTATAACAAGCCGACATTTTTTCAAATAAATAATTTGCTTTTAGTATTTATATAGAAAGAAGAAAATTTTAATAACATTATTATTAATATATAACAACTTGCAACGGATTAATAACTTAGGAAAACAATCATTATTTTGGGGACTCGGTAAAACGACACGAGACAGAACTTGTATCTATAAATATTAACACAATCACCATAATCATGATTTAACTGTGATAGTTATCAAATAGTATAACAAATTAACTATAATATTTTGGTTTTATTTCTAACTTACATCTTCTTTTTCACACCTTTTTTACCGCCCTTCGAAAGGCCTTTATTTTTACCGACCGCCATGACTGGAAACAAAATTTGGAAAGAGTATTATATTTTTTAAATGTGCTGTGATTGGCTGAACGAATGTCTACTATTTTTGACATTTCATTCTGACAGTGACATGTGTTGTACTAACTTTTTGCCGTTCGTTTTTCGCTTAGATCGAAAACTTCTTTTGGGAGATTTAATACGGTAAAATAAATAAATAGACGTACGTTTATTAACTTTCAGTTACAAAAGACATGTGATATGAATAAGTTAATTGTACGTGAATATTACTTAAACTACAAGATACAAGTTAATGACATTGTATTATGTATTTGTTTCAAAATATGCGAACATACACACAAGACAATCCGAAAATATACGTATGATCCTAATAATAATATTAACGGCTATAGTTTCCAGCTGCTACTAAACAATACGATATAATATTTATATCGTGTTGTTTAGTAGAGTTGGAAAATGGAAAAAAAATTTAGAAAGACATCCTGTCGGAACAATTTACTCATATTATTACAAGATTAATTAAGTACCTTCGTCTGTGGTAGTGAAAATCGACAACTCTATATTGCTATAAATTGTAAGACTACTCTGTAGGTACATATATCTGACACTACTTTTTTCGCTGTATCTTAATGCTCAATGGTGAAAAGTAATAAAACGTGTTTTAATTTGTTCCACATATGTTTAATTAATAACCAAAATATAAGTAAATCGCTCCAACAATTGATGGTCCATAGTTAGTAAATGAATGTGGCGCATTTAGTTACATCGCGCGGCAACACCATTGCCGTCCAGGCAATTAGCATGCTAATGCTGGGCTGAAAATAACTAAATATAACAACTGTCATTCGGAATCGAATTCCATTATTTTCATGTTATTAATATAAGAGATATGCTACAACAGTATTTAGCATATCCCCTAAAAATTTTTGTAGTCACTTGGTTTTCTTGCCATTACTATTCATTCATTCATAATTTAAGAGCTACGCTCTTATCGGTGGAGCTCTTGCCACTTTCCGCGATCTTCCATCATGTTCTTTAATTCTTGATACGACACGACTCCCATTTTGTCCTCAATTTGTTTAATGTAGCTATTCTTTGGTCTTCCCCTCCCCCTCTTTCCTTCTATTTTCACCAGCTACTCCAGATGTACCACAGATATTACAACAAGAATAGCCATGGCAAAAAAAGCATTTAACAACAAAAAATACCTTTTACACGCTAAAATATCAAAGACCTCACGGAAACGATTTATTAAAACCTATATCTGGAGTATAGCGTTGTATGCATGTGAGACGTGGAAATTAAATCAAAAGGAAAGAGACAAACTGGAGGCTTTTGAAATGTGGTGTTGGAGGAGGATGGAAAGAATTAGCTGGAAGGATAAAGTAAGAAACGAAGAAGTACTACACAGGGTAAAATAAAAAAGGCAGATATTGAACACAACAGAAAATAGACGAAGAAAAATGTTAGGACACTTGATATGGCCATTACTATACTTTTCGAAAATATGCCACAGTATATTTATGGGCTAAACGTAACGCAGAAATAATAAATATATATAGCATAAATAATAACACACGATGGATTTAAGATATGTACCTGCATAGAATATATATTTACAATAATATGAAAATAATGGAATTCGATTCCGAATGACAGTTGTTATTAGTTATATTTAGTGGCAAGAAAACAGTGTGACTAGATAAAATTTTAGGAGATATGCTAAAATAGTATTTAGCATATTCCCTAAATTTTTTTCTAGTCACTCTGTTTTCTAGCCATTGCTGTTCCCAGGGGCGTAAAATTACACAGTAAAAAACTGTCATCGCCGTCAATGCATCAATCTGTCAATCACTAATACATATGATTTTCTGTATCATTTCATTTATTAATCTAACCTACCTAATCAAAATCGCACCAGTGTCCAGTGATCAATCAGTACACTTTTTTATCGTTAGTATTGTTATGCTAAATTACTAACCTGCTAATAATAACGTTATTATTATAACACATTGTTGTGTTTACTGTTGTAATTTTTATTTTTCGCTCTTTTGGTACACGCTCCCAGTGCTCAGATTAGACAGAATAGTAAATATATATTTCTTAGTTCACCGGCCATTTAGTTAATTAATTTCTCGATACCAGCTACTATAATCGTGTATCGCGGTACAGTCCTGCCTCATATAAGTTAAACTCCCTCCTAGTTTCGTAAAAATTGTGTTGTCAAAATTTTGTTACAATTGTTTTATATAGATATTCGTTTCATCTGTTATTTTACTACTTTCACATTTTTTCAGTTTACTTTTTGTGTAATGTATTAATAATTTAAGTGCTTACAATGGGTGCAAAAGTGTCTAGAAATGATTTTGAGTGGGTATACACAGAGGAACCGCATGCGAGCCGCCGGAAGATCATCCTAGGTATTTATACATAATTTGTTACGTCATTATGTAAATTCTATTAATAGTTTGTAGTCAACTGTATTGAATATGTAAACTGTGGTTAAAAACCCGGCAAATCGATGTAACATATGCTTGTTTGTGCTGCAATAGTCTTTTATTATTTTATTCTTTAGTTAATAATGTCCTTAATATATAAAATTAATTGAGTAAGTACTCACAAACCCATTGAAAGTCCACAGACATACTCAAGTGATTGTTGCTATTATTTTATTATTTACTTAAGTATAAATAGTTATATAAAAAAGTAAGAATCACCTTTTTAGTATTTGTATTTCTATTTAGTAAAATAAACATATATTTTGAGTGTTCAGAAAATTAAAAGAGATTAAAACTCCTTTAGGAGTAACACTTTAACTACAAAAATGTAATCCCATACTTAATAATGTTGAGAAACTTAACAACTTTCATAAGTTCTTTTAGGTTTATTGTATTTTTGTTTTCTTAAAAACTATTAAAAATATTGACTACTGCTAAGTTAAATAATAATGTTGATGGTAGAAGTAGTCAAATGCCATGTAACTACTGGCATAGATGATAGTGGAGCATAGAGGAAGTAAAAAATATTGAAATAAATAAATATACTTATCTGACTATGCTCTTTATTTATTAATTCTAAAATAATAGAGTCAAATGTAATTTGATATAATCTACAGAATCCTTATCATTTAAGCAATTTCATTTTAATTCAGTTAGATATTTTTTGTAAAATTCCTACCAATTGTGAATACTACTGCTGCAATGTTACTATGTATAGTCCTTCCTTATGTTAGAAATATTGATATGGAGGATGTGATTATTAGTATTAAGTACTAGTGACCTCATTTCTAACAATGTACTATTATTTCTATAAATGTTTCATATAAATAATTTATCAATGAATGTTGTAGCATTGTTAATCTGTTATCCATGCTGTTAAGTGCCCAGTACAGTAGTATTGTTATCTACACTACTGTAAGTATTATTTAAGAGTAAGTAGCTGTAATATAAGTACCTAACCAAATTCCATGAAAATGTGTCAATGTTCTCAATTATGTAAATATTTATATTGCTGCCATTTTATCAGAGAAGCAATAGTTTCATTATATCTGTTTTTTTTATAACCTACTGCTTTCCAGTTTTCTTCAAGATTCATCTTAGTTGATTCCTCAAGGTAGAGATTACATCTTCCAGCCTACACTCGTCAGGCATCTCTATTTTGTGCCAAGTGGACTGCTGTGTTTATATTTTACATGACAGCATTTCAAATGCCATCAGTCTATCATGCAGATGCCCATCCTCTGCCCCATCTTCCCTTTCTCTACATACCCTATGCAAATTCAGTGTCTTATGTTTCTCCACAAATTTTGTGAAATCAAAGAGATTGTAAAAGTAAACTTATATTTAATATTTAAACTTTCTAAACATTTTCAAATCAGGATTGTGATTTTTAGTAATGGGAGTTAGTACCCATCCAATGCTCATGCTTATTCTGCATGTGCTAAACTGGTTTTCTTATAATAAATTGGCTATTAATAAAGAATGTCTATCTTTTTGAAGTGTGTTGAGAATAGTCATCTTATCAGCGTTATCTTAGAATCCAATTATTTTATATTGTTTGTGCAATATATTACTGATAAATATCATTAATCTATCAATTTATTAAACAAATTGATTAAATGATTTATCTACTATACATAATATGAATGAAGTTGCTTCTGCTGTCTGTTCCCTTAGATCTTTTAAACTACTTAACGGATTTTAATACAGTTTTCAGCAATAGATATGGTGATTTAAGCAGAAGGTTTATATGTATATTATATATACATAGTAGCTGTTCCCGTGACTTTCTTTTTTTCTTTCTGAAATAAAAGTCGTTACTCTATATAACATTAAGTAGCTACCTGCCAAAACAAGGCCCGTCTATATCGGTCCAGCCAATAAAATCACGATCTTATCTGATGATAAAATATATAATTTATAAAATTCGTAGTCGTCCTTCCGTCCGTCTTCGTATATGTTGTATACGTCGACTGTTCTGTCTGTCCTAGTTATATGACCAGCAAGCTGTCCTGACCGCAACACACGTCTCACAAAGAGCTGGTGAAATAGGTCAGAGAGAGTTACTCAAGTAGGCGACTTTGTGCAATATCTGCCTTGGTAAAAGATGAGCGTTAAATACCTATTTAAATGCAGATTTAAAAACCTTACTGTTCACGCTCACTCACTAAGAAGCCTAAAAGATTGTTTAACAGCCTTTTAGCATGGACCGGTCTCGGGTATCTTCTAATTACACCTAATTATACGTAATTGCCCATCTAGTTAAGTGTGAAGTTGCGAGTATGAGAAGTCCAGCGTAACACTAAAGTCTATCTTGTAGGAAATAAGGAAAGACTTCTTCAGTCTGCTTAGATTTCATATACTATACACATCTTAATAATATTATAAACGCAAAAGTTTGTGAGTATGGATGTTTGTTACTCTGTCATGCAAAAACTACTGAACTGAACTGATTTTGATGAAACTTTAGAATACGTAATATAGCTCATGCATCAGAACAACACTATATTTTTTATTGGAATATAACGAGGGTGAAACCGCAGGACCACCTAGTCTATCTATTTAATATATAAAAAATAAATCAACACTCGTTTCAAAGTACTCCGAAACGGGTTAACTTGATTTTTATTAAATTTCTATGTTTTTTAATACATGATTATATAATGGTGCGTCCGCCTGTGCTAACGGTTTACGCTGGTGGGGCACCAGTGGAGGATGAGATGAACATGACGTTATGTCACTTAACACATCGTGACAAATACACCAGGAATTTATCGCGAAGGTTTCCAGGGGAACCTCATGTAATATGGTATATTGCTGGCAATGAGGTCTTCCGTCCACATTACTAACAATCTCCTTTTCCTCCAATTTGTATATTTGGTAGGTCTGAGAATAGGTTGTAGACTATTTTTTATAACCCTAGGTAATAAGGGCAGCCCTATTTATAGGACAAAACGACGGTTGCCGGGTCAGCTCATGGAAATACAGAATATATAATGTAGTTAACTTGCGTGTAATTTGTTATTATTATTATTATATTGATACGAGAATTTTTCCACTCTTTAAAAGGTACATTATCCAGAGTCACATAGGATATTGTTATTTTAATATATTCCAAACTCACAAAGTTATGAGCAACCGAGCAACGCCGGGTTATTAGGTATAATTACGTTCAAGGGTGTATCCGAAGCAATATGGAACTTTGACCGCTACAATTTAGAAATAAGTGACGTAAATTTCGTATTGTGTAATTTTCATACACAAAGATCCTCCATGACCATAAACAAAAACGTTCTACGTTCACGGGCGACATAATCTAATATTTTATTAATACGTCACATGTCGCAGTGTTTGTTATCGCACCTTGTAGGTATAATATAAGGTTGTAGACTATTTTTATGACCCCTATATATCAAGGGTGGCACAATTCAGAATTAAGTTTATTAATGTATATGGCAAAACAACGTTTGCCGGGTCAGGTAGCAATTATAATAGTATGCAAACCTTAACAGGTAGGAAGTATACAAAGCTACCTGTTACATGAAGTTTCGTCTGCAAACTTTAATTCCCTATATTTTCATATTATTTTTTGAGATAAAAGGTTGCATATACCTATAAGATTGATCCGTTAACCCGTTTTGTCGGGACAAAGTAAAACACTAATGCCTAATGTATTTGCATCTTTACATAGTATAAAACAAAACACCTCCGTTGTCTGTTCGCTTATATCATTTAAATTAAGCCACGGATTTTAATGCAGTTATCATATAGATAGACAGAGTGATTCAAGAGCAAGGTTTATATGTATATATAAATGTATATGTAAAAGATTTGTAATGTATCCGTGTGAAGCCGAAACGAGTAACTAGTTTATAATATTGCCATTCAAATTGACGATGTTACCAAATATTCAAAAGTACTACAGCTGAATCACGCCAAATTCTTTCAGTGCGATAAAGTCTTAAACATTAGTCATTTACAGGCACAGTTGTAACGATTTCGAACCGTCTTTGAAACGAAGTCTATTCGATCGATGATTTGTTTAGAAGATAAACGAAGAACCGCATACTACACAACTTCCTGTTACGAATATAGGCATGTTATTGATGTGCTAAATAATAGACACAGTGACGCTCTCAAGAGATCTATAGATTCAAGGCCGTAGTGCAGACACAATCCACCACCAACCCTGGACGATTCATCTGGCGTCATTTAGTCCCCAACTAAGCCGACCTTGTACTGTAGATATAGGACAATTACAATACCAAGTCCGTCAAAGAAATTCTTCGTAATCCTTAGAACCGTACTTGGAATTGCCACATCGAAAGATACATGGCAAAAATTACGAAAGGAATAAATCACTCACAGTCACAATAGAAACAATACTACATAACTGTTTACCGTGACGCATATCATAAAGTAAGTCTCGTGTGTCAGAAATTACACATTTTTTATGGTTATGATGAATTAACTACCACTAGCTTTTGTCATCGACTTTGTTCGCGTTATATAATGATAGATCGGATAAATAATGGATTGTATCAACAGTGTTATTGCAATTAGATAAATGATTTAGGTACCTAAGCCTCTGTACATAGAATAACTAGCCTAAGGTTCATCTAAATTGTTTAGAAAATTTAGACACATACGAACAGACATTTATATTTCTAAAGAATATTATTATAAGTTAGGTACATGTGGTTTGTCTCTAGATTACTCCACAGTAAATTTCATGAAATATGAAATTTAAACTACAATATTAAGAGTAGCGATGACATCATGCAATCATCATTCAGCTGAAACCCGTGACTATTGGAAAATGGACGCCATAAACGATTAATTTGTTGGCTTCAAAGCAATGTTGCCAGTAGTCCCGATTTTTAGACCAAATTTATATGTCGCGCATGGGACAGGCCCAGTGCCTTAGTGTGGTCTTTTATCGCTTTGGAGCAATCAGAAATTCACTACCTCTACTTATATTTATTAGTCAAAAAAGTAGCAAAATTCTTCGTAACATATCATAAAGACTTTAATTTATGTCAATTACAAAAAAAAATTGTGATGTTTGTTCATGCTATGCCGCTCCATGCACACTATACCACTGAATAGATCAGATTCTCGTGATATTACAGTCTGTCACCCGTATCAAATAGCGAGGACGGTGCCTATATATATTACTTAAAAGACCTGGTAGCTTGTTCTACAGTTTTTGTTTCTTTTTTAGATGCCGATAGGTTCGCGACCCTGATGACCTTTTTATATTCCGCTTTCAATAATGGATTTACAATGATTATTTTGAGGTTTATAAATATTACGCTTTACCTAAAAAAGAATTTGGCTGTGCTGCTTAAAAGTATAGAATTCTAATTCTAGGCATTTCTTTGAACACCTGCATATTATCACTGGTGATTCAAAGTTATTGATTATGTCAATGTATTATGACATGACATAATATTATCGAATAATTAAAATGTCGATAACAAGTACAAACATAGTTATAAGTACTAAAATAAAACGCCATAACTTACTGTTGTGAAATCTAATCAAATATAGTGTACGTGACGAATTGATCGTACTATTTTGGTACAGTTAAAGTCAAACATCTTCTTGGTTTAGGTAGTAGTTAAAAGATCTAATTTCGAACTAGCCATACTAATATTATAAATGCGAAAATGTATCTGTCTGTATCTGTTTACGAATATCACTGCATAAATGCTGTAAGTTTTTTTTATTCCACCACGGGTACCCTGCCAGCGGTGAATGATAGCCAGCCAACTATATTGTTATGATAAAAAAAACTTACTGTATTTATGCACTGATATTCGTAAACAGATACATTTTCGCATTTATCGTAATATCACTGCATAAATGCTGTAAGTTTTTTTTTATCATAACAATATAGTTGGCTGGCTATCATTCACCGCTGGCAGGGTACCCGTGTTGGATGATAAGATGAGCATTAGGCCAGGTCAGTTAGCGTCAGTTGTGATTTTAATAAGGCTAATACCTACTGAGTTTTATGTATTTATATGACATAATTATAGGTATTATATTATTATGCTGTACCCGCTTCGCCCGGCCTCTGGAATAATGTATCTTTCAAACAAGAAAGAATTTCTCAATTCGATTCAGTGGTTCACTTTTCTTCTAAGAGAATGTTTTTTATCTGTATGCTTTATTACACCAACATTAAAAGCAACATTAGATGCATTAAAAAATATAACAATATGTGAACGAAAGAAGAAGGTACAGAATGCAGTCTTATCGCTAACGCAATCTCTTCTAGACAACCTTAGGTAAAAGGGTATTACTAAAAATGAAGTAGGCGGCAATAGCTCTCTCTCTCTCTCTCTCTTATAATAATAGTATATATATCATACTAGCTGTACCCGCGACTTCGTCCGCGTAAATAATGAAAAAATATTTAACTCAATTAACACAATATAAGTCAAATAAATAAGCTTCATCGTTTTAGCTTCAAAAATGATAAAAAGTAAAAATAAATATTTAATCAATAAGCTAAAAAATAAATTTCAAACTTCTAGCTTTAAATATGACGATACATCTATATAACCTTGGATCTACCCTTTTAATCCTCTTGCAACCCTTTTTCACATTAAAAAGTAACCTATGTCCTTTCTCAGGATCTAGTCTATCTATGTCTGTTTCAAATTTCAATTTAAATCGGTTCAGTATTTTTGGCGTGTAAGCGAGACAAACAGATAAAGTTACTTTCACATTTATAATATCAGTAAGGTATTTAATAAACTAACCCTAAAAAGACAAAGAAAAAAGTTTAATCGTTCTAGCTTCCACAACCACACAAACAGCAAATTTCCACAATAACTTTCATTCTCTATTTTATTTTACTACCCCCCCTCCCCCTAAGACAAACATTTTATAAACATTGAATATCATATTTATTGATATTTAAACAACAGCCTAAAAATGAGTCTCAAACTTCTAGTTTTAAAAAATGACGATTCTTCCATACAACCTACCATTGCAACCCCCTTACAATCCTTTTTTCACATTCAAAAGTACCCTATATTCTTTGTCCGGGTGTAAACTAACTGTGTACCAAATTTCATTTAAATTTTTATTTTGTTTTGGAGCGTAAGACTGACAGAAAGACAAACAGAGTTACTTTCACAGTTATAACATTAGTGGGGTTTTTAAAAATCTACCCCAAAAGAACCAATGAAAATAGTTTCATCGTTCTAGTTTCAACAATTACGAATTTACATAATAACTATCATCCCCTACTTTATTTTACCCCCTTAAGGATAATTTTTTTACAAACAATGAATGTCATATTTATTTATATTTAATCAACAGCCTCAAAAATAAGTTTCAAGCTTCTAGCTTCAAAAATGACGATTTTACATAAAAACTTGCATCTCCTATTTTATTTTACCCCCTTAAGGGTATTTGTTTTTACAAACAATGAATGTCATAAGTATTTATATTTAATCAACAGTCTCAACAATAAGATTCAAGTTTCTAGCTTCAAAAATGACGTGTTTACATAAAAACTTGCATCCCCTATTTTATTTTACCCCCTTGAGGGTAATTTTTTTACAAACAATGAATGTCATATGTATTTATATTTAATCAACAGCCTCAAAAATAAGTTTCAAGTTTCTAGCTTCTAAAATGACGATTTTACATAAAAACTTGCATCCCCTATTTTATTTTACCCCCTTAAGGGTATTTTTTTTACAAACAATGAATGTCAATGTATTTATATTTAATCAAAAGTCTCAACAATAAGATTCAAGCTTCTAGCTTCAAAAATGACGTGTTTACATAAAAACTTGCATCCCCTATTTTATTTTACCCCCTTAAGGGTAATTTTTTTACAAACAATGAATGTCATATGTATTTATATTTAATCAACAGTCTCAACAATAAGTTTAAGCTTCTAGCTTCAAAAATGACGAATTTACATAAAAACTTGCATCCCCTATTTTATTTTACCCCCTTAAGGGTAATTTTTTACAAACATTGAATGTCATTTTTATTTATATTTAATCAACAGTCTCAAAAATAAGTTTCAAGCTTCTAGCTTCAAAAATGACGATTCTTCCATACAATCTTTCATCCCCCCTTTTAACCCCTTACAACCCTTTTTTCGCATTAAAAAGTAGCCTATGTCCGTTCTCAGGGTCTAGACTATCTGTATACCAAATTTCATTCAAATCGGTTTAGTAGTTTTGGCGTGAAAGCGAGACAGACAGACAGAGTTACTTTCACATTTATAATATTAGTTTTTGTCGCAGCACAAAAATATATTTTTATCGTTTCCGTACAAATAATAATTTTACAGTATTAATCTACAAACCAACATTTTGTTTCTTACAATCAGCTAAATAATTTAAATAGTTCCATAATATATGGCATAATGAAAAGGTCATTTATTTTATAAAAAAGACAGTTAGTTTTTATTTTAGTGAAAAATAAGAAGATTCTATTTTGATACAACAACCATATATTTATTAATACCTATACTTTATTAATTTTGTGTTAATGCTTTTTAAATAAACACCCACACATTATTTCTGTATAACCTACAAAATTGGGTAAATAATTTAATTTCGGATAGTGCCACACCACAACATTCTTTAAAAAATGTAAATAATAAAATTTGAAGAAATTGTGATTGTACTGAACAACTTAAAAAGAAAACTTAATAGTTTTTTTTTAAGTTGTTCAGAACAGGGAAACAACATTTGAAATTTATTATTATTTAACATTGGATATTGACTTTAATTTTTGTAATTTATATTGTAAAACTTTAAGTTGGGCTAAACTGGGCTTGTATCCAGAGCCGTAAAACAAATTGATAAAAAAAATCGCCAAATTTGTCTCGCAATCGGCCAATTTCAGGTTTAAAGAAAAAACACATACACACGATATATGATTTTATCATAAAAAAGTGTCAAAAACAATATTTTCACTAAACGTCAACGTCATGTTTCCGGCAAGATCTTTCGTTTTACATTATGTTATCTGTGGTTTTATTCTCTGTGATGGATACCTTATTGGCGCAAACACACGCGATGTGTTGATTGGTTGTTAGCTAGTGAAATGAAAAGATGGCGAATGGCGCAAACGCACGCGATGTGTTGATTGGTTGTTAGCTAGTGAAATGAAAATATGACGAATAAGGATTCAACCGCATAAAGATAACCTTGTATTTCCATTTTGAACCCCTTACAACCCTTTTTTCGCATTAAAAAGTAGCCTATGTCCATCCTCGGCGTCTAGACTATCTGCGTACTAAATTTCATTTAAATCGGTTCAGTAGTTTTGGCGTGAAAGCGAGAGAGACAGACAGACAGACAGACAGACAGACAGACAGAGTTACTTTCGCATTTATAATATTAGTAAGGATGTACTGTGAAATGAAAACTATAGTTTTGCTGTTACATAATTTATTTATCGTTTAGTCATAAGCATATTTCAATATATGTATGTACAATAATGTTTTTTTTTGTTTACAGAAAAATATCCTGAAATAAAGCAGTTGTTCGGTTACGATCCACTGTTCAAATGGGTGGTGACGGGGATGGTGATCATACAATTAGTCATGATGCCGATCGTGCAAAATCTCAGCTGGCCAATGTTGCTGCTTGTCGCCTATTGCTTCGGCGGAGTTATCAACCATTCACTTATGTTAGGTAACATTGGAATTTGAAATAAAAAACACTAAAGTTCGGTCGGACACTAAACAATGAAATGATTTGTTGAGTGTCCGAATATTCGGCTTTTATTTCGTTCGTTCGTTTTCGGGGCGAAAATTGGGTTAGAATTGAATAGAAATATTTTTTATTTCATTAAATTCAAAAATGTTTTTTATACTTTTTAATAATAAGTTTCTATGATCCTTACGATCGAAATACACAGTTAGCTGAAAAATATGGTCAAGAAACTCAATTGTAGCTAATTTTATTTCTGATATTTTTAGTTAATATCCAATTTCATTGATTTGGAAAAATACCTTGATTTTTCATGGGGTACATCCCCTTGGAGTCCCGCTTGCCCCTGGGGAGGTAAACAAGTACTACCAGGCTCTTACTGGCTAGAATACTACCCTCAAGATGTTCTTTTCTTAACCTTTTGTCAGGGTTTTTTATATGTTAAATAATAATGGAATGTTGCACCCGCCTGCGCTAACGGTATATACTGGCGGGGCATCAGTGGAGGATGGTAAGATAAACATGAGGCCCTGTCAGTTGGAACTTTGCGACAAATCAGCAGGAATTTACCGCGAGGGTTTCCAGGGAGGTCATCCTGTCGTGGAGGTCATCCATACACTGTTAGCAATGAGATCATCAGTCCACATTACTAACAACCACCTTTACCCCCTTCTTTTGTCAAGGTTACGGGAATGCACAAGCAGTCTTCTGCAAAAATATAGCCAATATTTGTGACATGCGTATATAAAAGCAGATGTGAATATGAGGCGTGTCCACTTAATATACATTTACACAATCACAAGGTCATAGACAATTGCACGCTTTAACTTTTTAATCCGAGAGCGATGTTATTCTTATCTCAAGCCACTCTAGTAGTAAATTGCTTTTAATTGTTCTATATGTATCCGTTAATCGCTGTACATGTTTGATAAGATTTTATCAAATACTCTTGACTGTAAACACCTGTATAGAACATACCGAATTATCTGATTATTGTTTTATTATCGATATGAGGTTAGGGAAAGTATGCAACAATTTCCCTTTTTTATACACTTACCCAGTCAGTAAGGGCCATCGATAAATTACATAACACTTTAAAGGGGAGAGGAGGTCAATAAAGCGTGAAGTTGTGTGGCAGGAATAGGAAGAGTCTTAAATTTAAAACATTTTAAAATAATTTTTTTTATTAATATTATAAAGAGTGAGTATTAAAACACGAAATTTGAACTATATTAAGGAATATTATTATCTGTCACACTACGTACGATGTAATTGCATACCTTTACATTTGTTTGTAATGAGTAATATGGAAGAACATTTGTCTGATTAAAAAAATCACATATATGTAGATATACTAACTACATTATCACCGAGTAACAGGCAGTATTTCACACCGCACTTAAGGCAGCGTTGCGACATTAAACTAGTGTTATTGTTATAAAATAAAACGCAGTTTCAGTTTCGGCCAAGTTATGTAAAACATCAATTACGTCATATCTAATACTTTTCCTTTATCGTTAAAGCAAACAGCGTTAAATAATAAGAGTAAATTTTTCACTATATATTGTTGGTGACACACAATCTTGTGTATATAAGATCTAGGTAATATCACAAAATGCTGGCTAACTATGTATAACATGTTTCTACACTAAATATTAATGATTTTTTTATATAATTAGAATGACAAACGTGACTGCATAATTGGTGGTAAATAGCAACTTTGTGTTGCTATTTACAAGTGAACAGTATTATAGATATCATAGTATCAAGTGACGCCCCCTATACCACTCATGCGTTGCCATTTCCGAGGGTTTTTTAATGGATTATAATGGAATGGTGCACCCGCCTGCGCTATTCAAAAATAAAAAAAAAAAAACAAAAAAAAATCTTACATAAATAATAATTTTTATATATATACTAGAAGTTTCCTTGAGGCATGCACATAACTTGTCACTTTAGATACAATTAAAAATTGTTCGCTTGTAATTTCTTATTTATTTGTTATTTTTTTCAGCGATACACGAAATAGCGCATAACCTCGCCTTCGGTCACTGTCGGCCATTACACAATAGGTTGTTTGGTTTCTTCGCCAACTTACCGATTGGTATACCAGTATCAATAAGCTTCAAGAAGTATCATTTAGAACATCACAGGGTAAGTCCGCTTATATATCGATAACTATAAATAAAATTTAGGCGACTGTAATTTAAAATTAACAGCTTTTCACTAAATGCATTTTAAAGTACATACAGTACTTTAACATGCATATATTATACATATATTACATCGAAATAAAAAAACTTTGTCTCTTAGTTCTTGCAGATCTCTAAAACGGCTGGACCGATTTTAGGTGGACTTTCATTCGCATATAGCTAATGTTATAAGGAGATACTTAAGCAATTTTTTTTTTTTTGAGAAAAAAAAAATGGCAAATGCCAGGCGAGCGAAATCGCGAGTAACAGCTAGTTATATGATATAACCAGTAACCTGTAAACCTAACATATAAACTGCTAAAACCAATTCCGAGCTGTCGATATTGGACTAGGCACGTACCATTTCGTACGTCATCGAATGATATGTGTCAGGTGGAAGATGAGTAAGATAGTGAAATTACTAGATATGAAAGTATTTTAGTCGGTTACCACTTAACATAAGATCGGTTAGCCTGTTTCTTATTCCAATTATACCAAATAAATATTAAAATTACCATATTCCTCCTTAAAAGGTCGGAAAGAAATTTGGATATAAAAAAAAACCATTTGCAATTCCCCTGGTGCTGCGAATAATGACGGTAATAATTTACCATCAGATGTTCCCCAATTTTATTTTCTCTCTGTGCTACAAAAAATCATTCCTTTTCAGTATCAAGGTGACGAAGTAATAGACACCGACCTCCCGACCCTTCTAGAAGCAAAGCTCTTCTGCACAACGGGCGGGAAACTGCTGTGGCTGTTCTTGCAGCCGTTCTTCTACGCACTGCGCCCTCTGGTAGTGCGACCCAAACCACCGTCCCCTATGGAAGTTATCAACTTAATTATACAACTGTTTTTCGATGCTATCGTAGTTAATTTATACGGTAAGTAATTTTGTTATTCTATACCTAATATTATACATATTAGGTATATACAATCAATCAATCAATCACTATCGTCTACTTTGCCACATCGGATTGATTTATCAATCAAATGTACTCGTAGCAAGGGATTAGGATAGCATCGTCTCTAGGATTAATTTTGTTTGTTATTAATATTGATACTGGATTCGAACTCGTAAATGTTGCGGTCTTAAGTCGGCAACAAATACAAAACTAGGGTTAGTAAATATTATTGTGATATATTTTGTCTGTTAATTGTAACACATGTATAATAGTATAAAATTATATTGTTTTGAATAAAAAATAGTACTAAATTTTGCTTAAATAATTAAATAGTTTTCTGCCAAATAGTAACAAAAATATTCTTTTTAAAAAAAGTTATTTCAAAGCAATAATTGATCACCGCCAAAAATGGACTTGAAACAAAAAAAATAATAATAATTAATCGATTCGATTCCATGTACCGTATTATGTATTTTTTTTATAAAACTTCTATCTCATCTTTAAGTAAATTTAAAAATCATTAATCAGGAATTATATCTTTATAGGCTGGAAGGTGCTAGTATACCTAGTGCTAGGATCTCTGTTGGCGATGGGAGTGCATCCAGTAGCAGGTAAGTTCATTACTTCTTCTATAAAATGAGAACTCATTGTCAGTGCAATTTTATATTTGGGGTCAACTAGTGTCCGACCGTAACTATTTTTTTAGCAATTATAGCCGAAACTGGACGGAAAATCGACTTGTTTACAGTCTCGATAACGAAACTTAGTCTTGATCTGTTTTAATTTTTTTTTATTGTTATACACATATAAATAATATTTAGTATTTATTGTACTTTGGTTTTTTGTTTAAACCTATCAGAAATAATTCCATCTATTCACACAATAAAATCAAACATTGTTATCTAAGCCGGCACATCATGGCAGTGTACCCAAGATACTGGCAGCATCTCTGAATAGCCATACTTAGTTTGTGGACAAAGTACTGTCCACCAGTTGTCATGTCATTAGTTACATCGACGAGCCGCGCTGAAATACTCGTTAAAAACAATTTAGCTTCTTAGTTATTAGTTGAAAATATTTGCATAATTTTTAATAAGTATTATTTCTCACAACACATGACGTCATAGGTATTTGTATTAAAATCTGTGACTTTATTAATTTCTTCATGTATTATTACAGGGCACTTCGTATCTGAACACTATATGTTCCGTAAAGGCTTCGAGACCTATTCATACTACGGACCACTGAACTGGATAACTTTCAACGTGGGATACCACAACGAACATCATGACTTCCCAGCGGTGCCTGGTAGAAGGCTACCCGAGGTTAGTTTTTTTAACCAATTTAAATACTATATATATATTTTTGTAAATAGATCTTACTTACTAATATTATAAATGCGGAAATTTGTAAATGTGAATGGATGTTTGTTACTCTTTCACGCAAAAACTACTGAAGGGATTTTAATCAAACTTTATATTAATATAGTATATTCTTCAGAATAAGACATTGGTTATAAATTTCATGCGGACACAGCTAGTGCATAATATACATGGAAAACGCCCAGCCCAATACAAACAACCATACTAATGAATACAAATGTTTGTAACACGGAAATCGCCGTTATATCTGTGGTGTTGTTTATATAGTATATAAGCGACTCTTGCTAGTATATGTATATATACACATACTTTTATTCTCATATGTATGTGTGTTCTCGCAATTTCGTCCGCGTGGAATTTAACTTTATTTTTCTAAAATAAAAGTAGTCTAAGTTACTCCTTATTACATTAGCTACCTGCTAAAAAAAGTCCCGTCAAAATCGGTCCAGCCGTTTTAGAGATTAGCCGGAACAGACAGAAATTGTAAAAAATGTTATTTTGTTGTATGTACCGTATTTATATTCATATGCATGTAGTAAATAAAAAACGGTTATTTAAATATTACAAACAGACACTCCAATTTTATTTATATGTATAGACATTAATAATGGTTGTCAGTAAATGTTTTTCTTTTCTTTCTATTGCCCCTTTCCATCTTGTCGCAGACAATTTGTTTACCATTACAATTATAAAAAAATATGTTTTGTATTTATAGGTGAAACGAATAGCGTCAGAGTTCTACGACAATCTACCTCAACACAACAGTTGGTCGAGTGTACTATACGACTTCGTAATGGACCCAGAGATTGGACCGTACGCGAGAATCAAGCGCAAACATCACGGTCTAGACAGCTAGGTGTAACTGTAGAGTATAGAGAAAAACTAGTACGTAGTTAGCCGTCGATTTATTATTGCATTTTATATGATGAAATACAAATACATTATACTGGAACTATAATAATGGGGCTTAATCATGTATCTAACAATTTTCACTTATATCAAAGGAGCGACTCGCCCATCTACGCAGGGCTATTTAAATTAATGTACATAAAATATCGTTACAATTTTCTTGAGATTATCGCGAGCATAGAGACAGATGCATGTAGACTTGTTTTTCTTTATAATATGTATAGATTAAAATCAACAATTTTACGATTATGTATGGACCATTTCACAGTTTCAATTGCGAGCCATTAGCTTGTAACTGTAGTTCATATAAAATCTAAATTTTTAAATCAATTGAGAAGAGATAATGATGAAATTATCCATTATGGTTATTAAATAGCTTTTTACATTTTTCTCCTAAAGACATTGTTGGACATTTCCATTTATATATTCCATTGTTATTTAAAAAGTCGCCCCGGGTCCAATTGATTTTGTTCATTAATATCCAAATTATATACATACTTGTATATAATTATTTTAATATAACCAACCCATAGACATTAATACTTGTATTTTGTTAATCAATTTATATATCTGTCTTAGTTAGATACTATACGACAGAAAGCTACACATTAATTATAGAAAGTCGATTATAATTCATAAATTGATTTTCACCCAATTTAATGGTTCTCATAAGTGTCTTATGTAGACTCATTGTCAAAGACATATTTTTCTACTTGCTGAAATATAATTAATTGAGAAATTATGTATATTCTGAATTAAGCCTGTTATTGAAACATTATTAAAATATTTTTATATCTTACGTTACGTTTTTAAAACAATCATGATTACTAGAAATAGGTCTTACCTCATTGTAAAATTTTCTTTTTTATCGACTTTTGTGGTTTTATATTTTTATTAATTTACTTATAATTTCAATGTTCATTTTAAAATTTAATCTATACTATAAATTTATATTGAAAGGCTTTTTACAATTTATATTAATTTAACTTTACATGTACATTGTCCCAGTATGTGTAATCAAATAATTTAATGCAAGTAATCGTATAATCATAGAGACTCCTTGCTATGCTGGATGATAATGATAAACCTTAAAAATAATTACAAACTTAGGAAATAAATATATGAGCATATATAAACAAATGAGCTTATTAAATAATAATAATATATCTGGACTAATCACACAGCATCATCTAGTCCCAAGCTAAGTAGAGCATGTGATATGGGTACTAGACAACTGATATAAATACGAGTACATACATTTTTTTGTAAACAATGGTTTTTACCGTGCGAGGAATGGATCCCGTGACGATCGGAAGTAAGGCGGTGTTCCTAACCACGAAGGCCGTCATTTCCAAATGATTTTATATTATGTAAACAATTTAAGCTGGTTATTTATATTGTATTTAAGAATAATAGTCTTATATTTTAGCATATATACGTTCTCTTCCACCTTCCAACGCAATGATAATGTATATATGATAATTGTAAAAAAATACAGTAATAAAAGCCACAAAATTTGACAGTACAAAACTAAGTTCCGATTATTATAATATATTTTAAATTTAATCTCATTATAGTAAAATTACCTGTACTTTATATTAAAAATAGTTCGTATTTATCTTCATCCCAATAAGAAAAATATACATGTCGCATACAAAACATGTTGGTAAGAAGTATTGTAGTTTTGGAAAGTGAAAGTGTTAATTCGAAAAATGTAATAATTTTGAGTTTATTCAGTATTGTTTTAGGTGTGCGATATGTTTCACAGTATGAGAACCATTTCTGTGTAAGACTAGTATATATGCTCTACAAGTACATACTGTATGCTATCTTATATATACATATTGCAAATTTGAAATTATTTGGAGAGATTGTAGAAGCTATGATGTATGTATTATATTTATAAATATTACTTCAAGTTTTTCCATAACAACCATTATTTTTTTATATTGTTGATATTACATTGTTTTTTACTATAGTATCATACTTATAAATTAATAATTTATGCTTTAATCAAGTGTTTATGTTTCAGTGATTTTTTTTAATTAAGCGCTCAAGTGATATTATTAATCTAATTATTGAATTGCATTTTTTAGTCGAATTTATGTTTTAGTTAATCTAGATTAATTTTGAGGGAGTATCAGAGGCCGCATTTTGTAAGACAGACTACTGCCTTCAATATTTATGAATTAAAAAATATATATTACACATTTCAGAATAATAATATTACACTGTCTACATAAAGCTACATAGCTCAGTACTAAGTTCTCACTGCATTTAAAGCTCTAAAACATAACTAACTTTATTTACTGTTAATGTAGTATTGTACTAAATTAACTATTACTATTTACTCATGTAATTGACATGAATGCTTTATGGTCTAATTCAAAAATTCAAAATTAAATTAAATAAATATTATTTTCCCTACCATCCAGTTCAGTAAGATTCAATTGAGAAGAACTGACAAGAAACTGAATTAATTTTCTTATTCTTTTTTTTTAAAAAGCCAGTATATTTACAGTGTTTCCATCTATATTTATTTTTATTTATATCTAATCTTTACGGTTCGATAGTCCAAGTATTTTTTTACATTTCCTGTTTAATTTTGTTCGTAATTTGCCAAGTAATACGTCTTAGGAGAAGTGCCCTTTTAATCGTGTTTAACTAAACACATATTTTTATGTAGTACTATGTAAAGTTATCTGTGGTAGTACCTACTATTGTTTCTCTTTTAGCATTATTTGATATTTTGAATTTTACTTTTATTGTTATTTATACTAACATATGTCTGTCTTTTTTTTTGAGATTGTTTTTTCTTTAACCTAGAGTTGTGGACCAAAGTTTTTATTATAGGAATTAAAGATTAATATTGAAGTATACATATGTAAATATGCCTGTTCAAGAAACTCAGTGAGAAAATCTACAAGCTTCTTCTTATTAGAATGGATGTTCTTTGATCGAATCGAAAACAGATCGGAAAAATGTTTAATGCTTTTAATAAATGTCATCAATACAGATGTTACAAAAATGTAATTAGTATTTTTTACTTATAATCTATAATTCGTATTTGTTTTCATTAACTCTAATTATTAAAAAGCGTTCAGAAATTTGTTCCGATATATTTGTCTATTCTAATCCAATTTATCAATAATATTTGCATTATTTATGTAAAGATAGAACTCCTCGTGGACTTGAAGATCGATTAGATCTTCAATTCATTTTTAATTGTGACCATTTACCCGTAAAAAGATACACAAACAGACTGTTGTATCTTCGCATTTTTAATATTGATTGGGTAAGGTAGAGTCAAGCCTTTTTAAATCCTTTACTGTAGTTCTATTTTGATCTATGTAGACGCCTCGCCTCCTCGTCACATATGTTCATTAGGAAGTGCCTCACACGACACGCAGCTTTCTCGGAAGTCACAGTCTATCTGTGACTTCTAAGAAAGAAAACAAATTGTTTTCGTATAATTCCTCACATAGCTTAAGGAAACCAGTGTTTGCACGTTTAATTCGTGCAACTTGTAATGTTATTGTTATTAATGTTAATTGAATATTTGTAATTGTATTATGTATAATATAAATAGGGCACAATGTATTAAGTATTATACCAAAAGGTATTTTTTACTGTACTGGGAATGGAAAATATCTCAATTATGTTTGATGTTTTCGTTCATGGGGTTATAACAAACTCTTCATACGAATCAATTTTATTTGTAGACAAATAAAGCTGATTCGTAACTGAATGATTATACTGTATGAGTAAATTTTTAATGATAACAATGGAATGGTATATCTATCAGCTCGAACAGTATACGCTGGCGGGTGGAGGGAATGATAATACTCCAACGTGGAGGATAATCGAATGGAATAAGCACGAGTACATCCTACTATCCTCCATTAGTACCCATCCTGTCGTCAGTGGTTATTACTGTTAACTTGTTTATTAACCCCAGTAATAGTATGAAAACCAGTGTACTAAGTATTATAACAATTGAAAAACATGCTTCTGTCATGTATATGTTAGGTGTTTAATACAGGATATTAGTACAAAGCTGTATATATTTGTATCTCTGTGAACTCTATAATGTATACTTCTATATTGTGTTACAATAAAAAATATATTTCATACTTTGTTTTTTTGTTGTTAGTTAATAACATTATATACAATACAAACAATCATACTCATAAAAATCATAAATGTTAGCGTCATGTGAGTAATTAAACCTTCCACCACCGGATGTAAGACGGTGTGCTAAAAGGCCGCACCGCCTTGGCCGTCAACAATGATACATACTTAGTTGATATTGACACATATCGATAGGAATGAAATACAGATGGATGGATAAAAATTTTTGTTTTTAAATGACCAATCCCTTAAACGTATTGGAGGGGCTGATATTCATTACCAAGGACAATGCCATCATCATAAGTTTGTATAAGTTTCTTCAAGATAGATAGTTTGTATACGATTTAATTTCAAAATGGCCAAAATTAATATGTATTGTAGTTCCTGAAGATTATATAGTATACGACAAGAAAGAACAAAATAAAATGAAAACTATTTTAACGGTAATTAATTTAAAATGCATTTATAATAAAAAAAAACATCATTATAGTCGTGGTACTAACCGTCAATCAATCTGCTGTCAGTGTCAAGATTAGACATTTTTAGTCTGTTTACTTTAATCTGTAATGTTAATTTGTGGTTCTCAGCGGTATAATTCATTTTTAGATTTAGATATTATTTCGTAAAAATGGAAAAAATACCTCCAAAACCTAAGAAGACAAAAAATGCTACCAGAGAAGACCTGTTAAAAATGGAGAAAACTGTAATTATATTAATTAAATAGTTAATCATTCTTTGTAAGTTATTGTTGATAAACATTGTATATTTCATATGTTTTACAGGAATTAGTCGAAAGAATATTACAATTAGAAGCCCACAATGTACAGTTAAAGAATATAATAGCTAAAAACTTGAGTGACCAATCCCAAAGTGATGTAAATTTAAAGAAAAAATCATTTGATTTCACCAAGTAAGTCTAACCTTATTTTAAGTGTCGCAAGTTGTTTAATTACTACCAACAGTTGTTTCCAACATGGGGACTAATCCCCATTAACTCTATTTGCTAAGCATGTCAGATCAACCTGCATGGTTCCTATAGAAACAATTGTGGTTAATTCCTGATTAATTTTTCATGATAACACATAATCAAACTGTCATGACTTTCATACTAGTCATTTTTTTACTAGTGGTAGTTGTATATTCCCTTATATACCCAGCAGTGTATACCATTATGGTGCACCATTCCACTATAAAAAATGAAAATATTTACAGAATCGTAAAAAGAAAATGTGTATTAATAATATTGTTTCTTAATTTGTATAATTTCCAGATGTCACTACCGCCGTATTCTCCTCCATTTACTCTATTTTGGTTGGGACTACCAAGGACTTGCTGTACAGGAAGATTCCAACCAGACCATAGAACATCACCTTTTCAATGCCTTAACAAAATCATGTCTCATACAAAGTCGGGAAACATCAAAGTATCATAGATGTGGCCGCACTGATAAAGGTGTTAGTGCCTTTGGGCAGGTAAGCAATATGTAGATGAATAAATATCCTTGGACCATTAACACCGCCATTTAGTCCCACAGTAAGCAGAGCTTGTGTTATGGGTACTATATAACTGATATAAATACTTAGATATTTTTTTTTATTTTCTACATACATACATAATAATATATATAGAAAACACTCAGACCAATACAAACAGTCCTACTCATGAATACAAATGTTTGCACATTGCAACAAATCGAATCTGCTATTATCGGAAGTAAAGTGATATGCAAACTGCTGGACCACTGAGGGCATCGTCATCATTTGTAAAGTTCCGTATTTATTATAAGTTCATCATATTTCATACTCATTTTAGGCTGAATCTGAATTCCAAATAATTATAATAATTGGTAGAATAAAAAAGAATCTGAAATGTCACTAGTATAGGTAGCTTCTCTCTACAGATACTAGTATTCTTTTATGCCTCAAATATAGTTTATTATATAACTTTTATTTATATGAAAGCTATAAATTATATATTATTGATATAAACAATACTAATATTGCATTTTTAATTACAGGTAATATCAATAACTCTCAGAAGTAAACATCCACCTGATGAGCAGTACATAGATAGTTCCATTTCTAATGAGATGCCATACTGCAAGATATTGAACCGTCTGTTACCGAAGGAGATCAGAGCACTAAGGTGGATACCCATACCTGAGGAGAAACCTGAGTATAGTGCTAGGTAATGGTGGATATATTACTAGTCAATTACTTTTTAATATATACTATTACTAGTCAATTACTTTTAATTAGGTACCAACTTAATGAATATAGAGGCTTTCCGTCTATAAAGGTCTTAAAAACCGTCTTTCTAAAATATGTTTATGGAAAGACGGTTTTTAAGAAGGCATAATATAATTGTATGTATCAAAAGTAAAGCAAATAACATTTTTGTATATTAAATAATAATAAAAAAGATAAATAATATACAAAGAAGTACATTTTGTACAGGTCTTATGATAACAAGATGCCTACTTTTTCCATGCCAGAGAATTGTAATTACTTATATAGAGCATACATTCTAAGTTTCTTCTTACACTAAATAATTTTTTTGCTTTTAAATTACCAGTCTATATGATGATTTTAAAGAACTTAAACTGTCCTATTGCTTTGTCAATCAGTAATGATTGGCAGTTGTCAATATCTAATAAATGGAACCAAACATTTAAATATAGTGTCTATTGTACTGTATTTACAGATTCGATTGCAAAAAAAGGCGATATAAATACTACTTTCCTCGCTCATCATTAAACATTTCCGCCATGCAGGATGCCTGCAATCGCTTGCTCGGCTCTAATGACTACCGCCATCTTTGCAAAATGGATGTCGGTAATGGCGTTACTGAGTTTCGGCGAGAAATATTTAGAGCTGACATCATACCTGTTGTGGATGAGAGCAGTGACCCGACATCTATGTATTGTCTCGTCATAGAAGGGAATGCATTCCTCTGGCATCAAATTAGGTGTATTATGGGAGTGTTGCTGCTTGTCGGACAGGGGAATGAATCACCTGAGATCATATCTGAACTGTTGAATGTAGAAAAGCATTCCAGGTTTGTATTGTGAACATTCTTACTAATGTTAGAGATGCAAAATTACATATTTTTTACGGTGGCAATGGACGTGTCTACTTTTTAACCTGTAGTCACGAAGTTGAAGTCGCGAGCAGAAGCTGTTCTATACTAATAATATAAAGAATTAAGATATAATTATTTGACTATGTCTTCTAATTTATCTATTCATCATGTAAGATAAACTGAGAAATACTAACAATTCATTGTATATACTGAATAAAACGCGTATTTCTTGAAGCACAAATCACACTGGCATAAATGACTACCTTTTTACATATTACCTATTTTAGTACATAACACATGTTTCCCCTATCCAACAGTAGCACAATACTTAAAAATTCCTTCATCTATACCTAGACAGCTATGTTAACACCAACTTACATACATGGACGGCATTCAATGTTGGCAACGCTGCAGAAGTAGTTATGAATAAATATTTAGATAAGGTGTTTATAAAAAATATATATTTCAGAAAACCACAATACAACATGGCGTTGGATGTGCCGTTAAATCTATTTCACTGTTCATATGAGTTGGAAGAGACAAATAATTGGGTATATGACCAAGACGAATTGAGATGTGTCATATCACACTTGCAGACAGAATGGACTGTTCATAATATTAAGTAAGTTTTTTTTATTTCTATATCATTTTAATTATTGTTTTATTTAGTAACTTTGTGTAAAGTAAACCTTTTTTCCTACAAATAAAATTGCTTTGTATCATATTTTTCAATTGTCCCTTGAACAGCATTAGAATAGTGAAAAACTATTTATAAAATCACATGTTAATATAATTTTTTGAATTTAGCCCATGGTAGACTGTCAACTTGTTTGCTATTCCGGTTACATAAAATACCAATTTTTTCCAGTTTTTGTCCAATAAAATGTTAAAATTGTTGTTTATTTCAGAACTACAATGATAAAAGATTCAATTCAGCAATTAGAAATAGAATATGCTAAACTTTTATGCGGACATGATGAGGAAAAGGATGGAGGCAATGAGAAACACAGAGATGGAGTGATGTCATATACTGACTGTTTAATACAAGGAGTTAAAGCTAGAGTATATACACCTCTTTTGAAGAGAGATACCTGTTGTAAGTATGTAATAGTGAATTCCAACATGATAAACTTGAAAATATGCTGCAGGAAAAATAATATTAAAGTATGATATAGTAAATAAAGCATTGCACATTTTTAGCATATATAATTTAAAAAATTGAGATATAAATACTCTATTTTAATCTCAATTCCTCCTCATACGAACACTTTTTTTCTTTTCTCCTTGTCCATCTGGGGTCAAGGAATGTTTTTTTTTCAGATATGATTGGTTTTTTTGTCACTTTTAGTTTGAATATCATAGTTAATAAATAATTAAAATTTCACCATACTTTATTTGAGCTTGAGATGATCTGTAAAATTGTAGAAATATACTATTATATTATAATACTTACATATTGTTTCTTTTCAGCAAGTCTAGAAGAAATGATCGAGTTTTACAAAAAGAAAAGAAAAATCACGTGAATAAAAATTAATTGTTCTATTAATTTTGTTTTAATTAGAACCATAGACTATCTAATATCTATGTATATCATATTGCACTGACTCAAAATAGGACAATCCATGATTTCACGTCAATGTAGGTGTTATGAACAGTTGTTTATCTACTAGGATGACTTTGATCAACAGTGAAAAAGAAATATCAATTGATTTTCATACTGGAATAATAATTTTATACATATTCATACTAGTAGGTATTACAAATGCAAAAGTATGTATATCTATCAAGATAGATGTTATTACAAATACAGACAGACTATTATAGATCTGAAAAAAAAAGAGTTATAGCTGATAAAAGATAGTAGAAAAATAAAAGATAAAAGATAGTAGATAGTAGAAAAAGAAAAAACACATTGCCGGTACTATAAAAAAATTCAGTTGTCGGTTACGTTCTAGAAGTGCATTGACGTAACTCTTTCTTTTTTGTATCTGGTATTAAACATGGATTACGGCAAGCAATCATCCTTAACTCGACTTGGTAAGGTCATTGTGCCAGAGGTATAGTAGCAAAAAGCGGGCAGTTCGGCCTCTAAACAGTAGCGAGAACGTTTTGTATCCGTAATTGTCCCGTAATTATTATGGCATTGTACAATGCAGTAGCATTGTAGATAATCCGTGGTTCAGTACGCAAAGCCGACCGCGGCGAGTGGTAGTCGGTACTAGGTCTTATTTTACTATCACCTGCGTTGCTTCAACCGTATTTTAAAAGGCTACGTCGCCTCAGTAGTAGGCTGTCGTGCAAAATAGAATCGGTGTGCAATATACCGATTAGCGAATCGGTACCAACTTTATTTCCTGCGCCACTTAAAAAAAAGAATATATTACTTTTTGGCGGTGTAGGTACATGTGCATTTTTCTTTTTTACGATTATCGCAGTAAAATCCGACCAGTTAGAAATGCATTTATTTAACACGAGGTAGTACCTAACTAAAGAATGTAGTTATAAAGTCGGTTAACATAAGTTTGACAGTTCGCGACATTCGTGTTGATGAGTTGATAAAAATATTTACGTGACGTGATGTCGGAAAAACTTTTTAGTTTTTGTTCAAATAAATTATTATAAAATCGGTATAAGTGATTAGGTGAACAATAACAAAACAAATGTGGTGCACTGGGTGCGAAGGGATCGAAACTGACATTTTCTAAAACACAGGTGTGTACATTTCATTTTCACTTCCACGATGAAGTTTTAATAATAGAATTTAATGGTATTTACCTACATTATCTGTACTTAGATTCAAACTGCTCTTTTTGGCTGTGTTTAGTTAAAATATTACATATTATTTTATATTTATGAGGTTCATACATATAGGAACTCTGTTAAAGATTATCTATAAAATATTCTTTAACTTTTTTAAATAATATTCTGCTAATATGTTATGTATAAATAACATATAATAATAATACTCTTACGGGGTGGCTTATGGATTATTGTGTACCATTTAGCATGCATACAAATATTTTTTATGATTGTTTATTATGTCAAGTTGGACTAATAAGAACTTCTAAACAGAAGAGAAATACAAATTTGTAGAACTGTAGCGTATTTATAAACCACAGAAAAATACGCTACAGATCTACAAATTTGATCTACAAATAATAAACCAGAAATACTTCAAAGATGATCTGGTAAATTTACCTTATGTTTCAACTAAATAATTTAATGGTATTTTTAATTGTAATTTAGTATGTCAACTCATAAATTGTTTACTCATGTAGGATATTGTAGTCACTTATAAATCTGAAGATTTTTGAATAAATATTTTCATCCACTCATATAATATGGCAGGCTCATGGCAGGCTCAAGGCTCATGTTGAAACAATGAACAAAATTAGGCTAGAATTAGTGAAGATATAAACAATTAAGAGATACATGATCATCCAATAAGCCTCTTATATTTTAAGATGATTAGTTAGTGGTTAACTGACCTTATTAAATTGTTAGAAACTTACAGCATAGACATACTTATAGTTTACATTGTTTAAGTTACTCTTTATGCCAATTAGAATATACTATTATTTATTATGATTGTGATGAGGCATCAATTGTGGCATAGTTTATGGATGGAAGCATTATTTCTGCTTCCCCATGGAGACAGATTCATGGAAAGATTATTTATTGAAATTAAATTTGTTCTAGTTCTCCATATAACAAAATATAATAATCATAATACACATTGAGAATTCTGTATACCAAAGGTATATGATTGAATCATATTATGAAAATAAATTCAGACAATTTTGTTTCAAGAACTAATAACTTCACTGGCAGGTAAACAATGTTGGGACAATAGCTGTAATAACAAATAAAACAGTACCTCAAAGTATAGCCAATTATTTTTTTAGATGTTTGACTTAATTTGACAAACATTCAGGAAGTTTTCATTGCTTTTGGTATTGTTCTAGAAATTTTTGACAAACTTTGTCCCTTGTTACTTGTGTCTTCCTTAAAAAGTTCAATGTTGTTAATTCAGCTGTACATTTTTTAATAATATATAATTTCTTTCTTTGCAGACTGATAAAATGGATTACTTCGGGAATAATGCACTAAGAGTCTTAGAAACAAACTTTATTTTCAATTATTATTTACCACAATAATTATGTAATTTCAAAACTATATTATAAAACCTTCAAATAAATAGTATGATGTAATTTTAGAATAATATAATTTAAGGCCAGTATTAGATTAAAATATTTTTTTATATTGCATTATAATGTTTGCTACAATACATCAAGTTTACCCTGCAACATATATACTGGAGATATTATTTGGTAAGTGTGTATTCAAGTTATGTAATAACTGTTTATATCCCCATGCTACTAGCAGTGTTTTAAATTTTATTTTGTTATTCCTCCAATTAAAATTTATTATATAAATAATATAAAAATTATATATTACCATCGCTTTATTTTGAGATATATGTACTTAAATATGCTTTTATTTCCAGATGACAATACACCTAAGTGGTGACACGAAGACCCTTAATGGTGTCGATGGTAAGCAGTAGTCAATATCTTCATTTACAGTACATTCAAATACAAATATATATATTTTGATAGTACATAAATGAATAAATATTACACAACCTATTTCAATGACTATTTGGTGATAACTGTCTGCCTATAAGAAGTATGTAATTTTTAAATACATAAATAAATAAAACAAAAGAAAAATTAATTTTAATTATATGTTGCACTTTATTGTACATTTTGAGTGTGTTGTTCACCATCATAGAATGTCTATTTATACTAGATTATTATAGAATTTCAAACAACGAGGAAATATATGACGACTATATGTCAATATTATATGGCAGGGCCAGTGTTAAGTCAGGGCCTGTTTGGGCGACCGCCCATGGTGGTCTTATATATCGTCTAGTATAGCTTACTTAGCTGTAAATTCCCTAAATTATGCGAGAAAATAATTTTGATCAATACTAGAATAGAATGTACTTAATCAATCTATAGTCAAGACATAAAACTACTTACTACTTCTTTAAATTTAATGTTGTTGGTAAATATCTAGGATCAACAGAATTGGATTTTATTATATATAGAACGATTGAAAAAATGCTGCACTTTCTTACGAGAATATAGAAGATATACAAACTTTAACAAGCACCATATCTCACAGGGCGCTAATGGTGCTAAAATCGGCTCTGGACAGAGCTTTACTCAAAACATTAAAACAGCATTCATTCATAATTTAAAAGATGCGCTCTTGCCGATGGAGCTCTTGCCATTTTCCATGATCTTCCATCAATCAATCTCTTTAGTTGTTGATACGAGATGGCTCCAACTTTTTCCTTAATCATTTTCATATAGCTGTTATTTATTTATTTAAGCTTTATTTTCCATATAATTACAATTTTAAAATTATATTTCAAGTTTAAGTAATGTGGGTAAAAGGCTCTTCCAACTTGTTCCAAACTCTTCCTCCAACTGATCCTCTATTCGCAGCCACACTCATTCAGTTTTCCCCTGCCACTTCTTTGATGTCATCGGATCATCTTTTTGTCTGTCGACCTACTCGCCTTTTTCCCGCCGGCCCTAGCCATTTTGTTCATTGATGAGTCCACCTTTGTCTTTGTACCTAGCTACGTGACCTGCCCATTTCAATTTCTGTCTTAGGCCATGTTGAAGTACATCTTTTATTTTAGTCTTCTCTCGAATGACTGTGCATCTTATGTTATGTATTTACATATAGTTGTTAAATATACATAATATGAAATGAAATTAAAGTTTATTTAATAAATGAAAAATGAATGAAATTAAAATACTGGTCATATAACATGGCAAGTAGTCTACAATAAAAAAAAAACTGGAAACCGCTACTTTGAAATATATATACGGAACCGTATTATGGATACTCGATTAGAAATAAACATTGATATGAGATGGTGACCTACAGATTGCATTAAGTTGCCTTGCAATTCGATTAAAAACGCGTCTTCAAATCTCACGATGGGATAGTATCGACGACCTTCCCTATACAAGTTGCATTTGAATAAGGTTAGTAAAGAGGTCGCGGCGTGCGCATCTATTAATCAAAGTATTGCGGCACGCCCGCTCCGAACATGTACGCGCGCATCTTCCCAAAAATAAAAGGTTGTTGTCTTAATTCGACGGTGTTTTTAGAAACAACTACTACCAAAATTGTTAGTCAGAGTCAAACTGTTGATGTCGTGGTGGACGCAATTTGAAATGCATATTTGATTTGATCCAGTGTGGCAGGGGATGAGTCTGCCGATGTCTCTCGGATCAATTTTTAGTATAATATCCCAGTTGTGTTTTATTTGATTCAAATTACGTGGTTCGTGATGTATTCGCAAAAATTTAATTAATTTTATTGACGGAAAAGGAAATCTATATCTATACCAACACCGCGGTTTCATGAAAATTTTCTCAAGTTTGTTTTATATAATTGAAATGGCAATGATATGACTGATCTCATATGATGCTGAGTGGATCCCTTGGTCGCGGGTTCGACTCCTTGCACGGTACGATTATTTATATTAGTATATTTATGTAGATAATAAGTATGATTGTTGTTTGTTTCGGTCTGGCGGTCTATGTGTTTGTGTCAGTTGTCTAGTACTCATAGCACAAGCTCTGCTCAGCTCGTGACTAGATAGCGCTGTGTGAATTGTCCTGACATATTATTATTATAGTAGATTAGTTTCCTTAATAGTATCTATATGTTACGATTATAGATCAATCAGTCAGAAAAATAAACTATTTCTGAATCCGTCTCTAGATTAATTGAACTCGTTGGCCGGTTTTTTTCTACTATACGTAACCTTTAACGCAATTTAATATCAATGTAACTGTACCGCATCCAATTTGCCGATGGCATCGTGACCTTGCCGGCTCCGAATTGGGGTTTAATTCTTTGTGAACAACTATTAGAACCAAATTATACAAGTACATATGTAGTCCAAATCGTCAGGCGTCGGTAGGCTGTGGTAATCGTTTGCTATCAGATCTGCCGTATATATTCTTGTTTCTTGTGGTTATAAAATCATATTGGAAGTAATAACTTCAAAAATCTATCCATACATATAAATAAAATTGGAGTGTCTGTTTGTAATATTGAAATATTCGTTTTTTACTACATGCATATGAATATAAATACAGTAGTATTTGATAGTAGTCTGTCTGTCTGTTTGTTCCCGCTAATTTCTGAAATGGCTGGACCAATTTTGACGAGACTTTTACTGGCAGTTAGCTGATGTAATACGAAGTAACTTAGGCTACTTTTTTTTTAATTCTTTAGAAAAAAAAACTTTTTTTAAATTGACGCGGATGAAGTTGCGGGCACAGCTAGTATACATATATAATTATACCATTTTGACCAATATCCTAAATGTGACAACTGTCCATGTCATAGTGAACTCAACACTTGATTGAATGTGGGCATTTCGCTCAGTATAGGCAGGGGGTGGTTTGCCGTAATTCCTCGGAGGAATATTTAGTTTAATATCAGTGTTTCTTTTGCCGGGTGAGTTAGTCTGAAATAGAAATTGACACACAAAGCTTTTTCGTATCGGCAGATTCGAACTCACTACCTCTTGGTTGTAAGGTAGCGTAGAACTAGGCCACGACGCAATAATAAACAATGAAATATGTATAAATAATTCAAGAACAAACAAATTTAAACCAATTACTGAGCTCATTTGTAATTCATTTACATGTAATAAATAAGAATCGGAGAAGATATATTATTATCTATTATGATTTATGACTTAATAGCTATCAATACACATGTAACACAAGAAAAATAAAGATCGGATCATTAGAAAGTGCTGTTGCCGTGGGAACTAGTAGTTGGTAAATCTAATGCAATCGCCACGATGTCCTGTTGTCTGTACGTATACATTTTATTACGTTATAAGGAAATTCCGCGCTTTCGCCCTCGCGAATATGTTATTTTGAGAATTGTCATAGTGATCACCCACCTGTACTATATATTACAGTATAGACAGAACTCCTGTGTAAATTTCATGTATACACATAGATTAATATGGATTGATAATATGGGGAAACTCTGTAGATGCTACTAGGGCATTTATCGTGCAAAAGATATGCATAAAAGCTGTGTGTGATGCCAGAGTTAGAGAAAGTTGACGACCTCTTTTTAAAAAATTAAACATCCTTCCATTGCCATGTATGTATATTAAAGACATTTGTATATTTGTAAGGGAACATCCTGACTATTTTAAGTAATTAACAGACACAACACTGCGAATAACGAGACCTAATGATAAACTATACACCAATGTTTCGATTAGACTTATATAAGAGATGTGTACTTTATGGCAATCAAAGTGTACAACAATCTTTCAAGAGAGATTAAAGAACTGGGATCTCATACGTTATTCAAACGCAAACTAAAGGATTGGCTGTCACTTGGTAATTTTTACAGTATCCAAGAATATTTAAGTAACACAAACACCTTCACGTAATTTGCATGCCTGTATGGTAAATATTGCTGATCAATCAATTTCATGTAACATCATATTAATTATAATACTGTACCAATATTTCGCAAATAAATTATTTCATTTCATTTCAAGAGAGTCATGGCATAGTGGTTTACTACTTTGAATTACGCTCAAAAGGTCGTGAATTCAAATGTTACACAAAAAGAGTCAATTCATATTTCTATCAGACTCTCCGGTGAAGTAAACAGCGAACAGAGTCGGCGGTAGGCTGGCCCTCTTGTATGGTGGATTCAAGTATACCTAGCGAAATATTGGCACGACAAGTGTTTCGTTCACTACATCAATAGTTGACTATGCCTCTTAGTACCCCATCTGGGATAATAGGCCTGACGGTACGATACTTTGTAGACTTATCCGTTATTGCTTTGTTTTATAGATATCGTTAACAGCTGACCTGCGCAACTTCGTCTGCATCACACTTATTATATTTCACCCAATTTACTTAAGTCTTCCTAAATTATAGCCTGTGTTATTCTAACTGTTTTACTGTAAAGTTTTTTCAAAATCCGTTCAGTAGTTTTTGCGTGAAAGAGTAACAAACATCCATCCATACTCACAAACATTCGCGTTTATAATATAAGTAAGATTTTTAGGTGTAATTAGATAACACAGTGAAAATGCGAGCACCATTCAAAATCTGTGGATTAAGACTATTAAGTCATATCTTTAATATGCCAGCGAATGGTTGGAAGGAAATTTAAAAAGAATTAACATAGTCGGATCCTTAGGTTTGTTGCAGCGTAGGCCGAGTAGGCTTTTTCGTTTTGTCTATTTCCATGAATTTTCTTATTCTTACTCATTGACTCTGGACTTTCCATTATTCTTTCAAACATCTTCCTTTCTATATAAGAGAAATATCAGTACGCTACAATCATAGATAAATATACTGTGTATATTTATTAATACAATTGTTTAAATAATGTTTCTATATACTTACAGATGTGATCTCATTACGAGATTGCCGGAAATATGATGAAACTTTTTCATTTTGTAATGTTTCCGGCAATTTTACATTACATACATACAAAGAGAAATTTAGTGATCCTTGACTTATTTCAACTAACAAAACAAATGTAGTTTTTGATTTTTTAGAATTAGACAAAAGAACATTAAATAAGATTTTCGGATCATTTAAACGCCATTTTTCAAGGTTCCGAAAAAGGCCAAGATCCACTTTATGTGACCGATATTAGGCAATTTTGTCATATCGTGTTTGTCTATCATAGTATATTCTTAGACACTATTAATAATATCGACGTGGTTATCCTTTTGGTCTATCGTATATCTCTTGTTCATATAATTTGTTATATTAAAAAAAACTAAGAAGATAAGTACTTATTATAAATTGTGTAAGTAACAATATGTGAATAAACCATGTCGATTTAAAAAGGTCCATAATTCAGGATGTCACTATACATAGAAAAAATATATTCCTATATATTCCTTCTTGAAACCCGTTGGCAATAAATTATGGATTACTGTACTCCACTGGACACTTAGATCTATCGGCATTGGCCGATTGTCCATTTCTAACCCGTGATGATCGCACTCGCTGTCCTTGTCACACGCGAATAAAATTAGAATGTATAACAGGGACGTGCGAAATCACGCTCAGTAACTGTAGCGTGGGAACGTAACATTTGGCGCTTTCACCGCTGGACTGCAGCAGTTGGCGTCCGAAAGTGTTGCGTGTTGCCTTGGTGAAGTCTAAATATGGATAGGTTGCCTTAATTTAAGGTGAGGGGAGGTTACAGGTACTCTCTGAGTAGTGCGTATGCCGTAGGGTTGAAATCTTCATTAAATCTGGTGATTATGTCCAAGGCTCGCAATTTGTTTAAAGTAATTGTAAATTATTTAGGGTTAGAAGAAAATAGAATTTGAAGAAAAATACAAAGGTTCTTTCCTTCCTTACCTAGCAGACAGAATGTTAAAAACGTTTATTTCTATATTTTGTTTCATCCATTTTCATAACTCGTCTCGTGAACTCCTGTTGAACTAGACTACTAACTTTTCAGGCAGTGCTTATATTATTTTATACTACTAAATTTGAACGTTTAATAATATAAAATTTGATGAAAGTTTGTTCGCAATGATAATTTGGTCTAAACACATATCTTAGCTCAAATAGTGTTTCACTCTTGACTCGAAAGACCCAATGTTGTAAGTGGCAGGAAACACTGACGCTGGGAGAGAGTTTCACTCCTTGCACCATCTGCTCAGAAACACATACGCCGAAATGCAACCTATAAATATAAGCAGTGGTATGATCAGTGTGTAGCAAAAGAAATCACCAAAATTAGTTACCGCGTAACAAAATAGAAAGAAAAAATACAGTCATATTGAGAATTTTCTTCTTTTCTTGCCTCAGGCGTAACTCTTCGCGTCAGATATCTTAATGTTAAATATTGTAAGGACAGTATAGATTTCCCAGAATATCTACCTTCCTGCCTTGTATACTTAGAATGAGAGAACTTCAGCAGGTAGCTGAAGTTTTCTCCAGAGACTATAGCATGGGGTTTTCAAATAAGGTATATTAAAGTTTCTTTAGGGTCAGAAATGCGCACGTGATACCCCTGGTATTTCAGACGTTCATAAGCTACGGTATGCTTGCTTGCTCCCATTGTAGTATATTTTTTTTTATAATTATTAGAGGATAACAAAATTTATCTTGTTTCAGGATGAAAGAGAGGGTGCAAGGCGCCGGGGAGGTGCCGTGCTGCCCGCAACTGTCGAAGTAAGTATTGCACCTATTTGTATTATTCATTAGACAATATATTACACCTTTTGCGACTAATACAGATCATAGACTCATATACGTGTAATAATTTTACCGATAACCGCGACTTCTTATGTACAAACTTGATTTCCCTATTTCACACATCAATTTATTTTTTGAGCTTAAGAGATTAAATTTAGCCTACGTCCGTCCTCGTAATAGCGTTTATCTTTGTCAAATTTCATGGAGACCCGTTCAACCGTTTAGACCTGAAAACGGTAACAAACAGACAGACTTTGGCACTGGAAAAATAATAATAGGTCCCATTATTTATGATCTACGATGAGATAAAGATATATGTACACAAACATGTGAAAGTTGTAACAGTGCTTCACTAACAATATGGATGACCTTTCTTCTTATCGTAATCAGAAAAAGTATAGTATTTTCAATGTTATATTTAAGGATACTTTTTTAAATTATAGAAAATATTTACCATGATCATCTGATGAGGGGTGACATTTAAGGGAGTATTGCGTACTTAGTGGAACCCCTACTGCTATTCAAGTGGCCTATTATGATTTAATCAGTACTCCTAAAGGCCCCACATCCTCAAAGTGCCCAAGGCGTTCAATAGGTTAAAGACGGCCCTGTCAACATTACAACCGTTTGTTGAATCTAGATCTAGATTATCGCGGATTAAGTTTATAGCCGCTAAATTAGCCGACAACTGAGATGTATCGATAGGCTGCTACGATTTATCTGTCCGACTACGGTCTATAATTAATTGCAGATTGGTTTCTCTTATTATACTATGGAATATACTGTACTGTAAAATAAAGCAACACTTAAAATGATGTTATGTTCGTAGCTATACATGGTCAATACTAGGGATTGAAATCCCGCAGCGTTTATGTCCTGTGGTATAGTTTTTCGGGATTGGTTAGTCCCACACTCTTATAAAAACACTAGCTGTTTATTACAATACTAGCGACTTTACCCGCCTGGACTAAAACTTTTTTTTTAATTAAAATAAATAAAATTTCAAAAATAAATTTAGTCTAAGTTACACCTTATAATATTAGTTATCTGCTGTAATTATCATTTACTAATAGTTAAGTGTTTGACATTCAATAAGACTATAGATCAATAATATTAATTTATACTCAATTTGACTACAAACATTAACAATATATTATAGAAAAGAGTATATATGTGTCAGATATATGTTAGTGTATATAAAGATTTTTTATTAATTCAATGCATTTTTTATGCATAATTATTTAATTAAAAGTAAAAATATTAGCATTCTTCACTTTTCTGTGTAAAATACATGTCATTGTGTGCGAAATTTTATACTCTCCGTCCGTGCACGTTCCGTAAAAAAGATACAAAGTTTTTGCTTCATGTATTAATATATTGATATTTTACTATTATATATTGTTGCGATGGTCTTAGTTATTCCCGTGAATACTCCATAGATTTTGATCGTTGTATTTCATAATCGAGGGCTACATCCGTGTTGATCATATTCATATTGTCGTAAAAACTGTTTTGTTAATGAACCAAACATTAAATCCTCCTATTTGGTATTACATTGTTCATATTATTATTATATATGTAGATATATAGTTTTTTTATTATGTTCTATTTCTTAATGTAGTACCTACCTACATAACAATACCTTAATAGTCCCAACAACAAATCATTTATACGAAATCTCCCTTCGGTGAATATAAATAATGGCACAGCGTCTATAAACTTGTTGGTCGATAGTTAAATATTAATTTTGCCCGTAAATTGTATTAGAATTGAGTAACGTTAGTGAAGCAACATCAACCTAGAGCTATCATCTGATAAGTGACAAATCAATGGATCAATTAAAGGATATACATTACCAATTTGGTACAGGGCCGTTCCATAAACTGTTTTAAATAAGCCAACATTAAACATCCTTGGCTCTGTCTCTATTCAGTAATCGACATTTTATCGTACTTTATTTATATCAAGCTGTCACATCCAACTTTGTCTGCCTTTTTTTATTTAATGTTAAGATTTGTTAAGATCCGTTCGTGAAAAGTGAGAATCAGACAGTCAGAGAGACTTTTAATAATAGTATGGATTATCTTCTCATATCCCATGCAGAGTAGACTAATATGAAAAATATGATAACACTTTACCGACACAAGTAAAAGAAATATATATTTTTATACGTTCAACATTCTTATTGTCTTCTGTCAGTTTTGTAAACTAGAGATCTGCCTAACTCTATCTGGTATATGATCTATTTGGTCACGGTAGCTTAGATTTTTTTTATTTAGTCTGTTGCTGTTGGCTACAGTTGGCTTTTACAGCTTCAACGGACGCAAGTACCAATTAAAGCAAATTGATCGTTTTTATACTCTATAACGGTTTCATTCATCATTTTCATATTATTTCTACATGTCCGAACCATTGTAGCACGAGTGTGAAATATTGGCTATACCAGACGTGTGAATTTTAATAAAACTTAATTTTGAAGCGATAAAAGCGATAAAATCTAACTAAGCATTAGCAACCTATTTCTAATTATTTCCTTTACGCGTTTCTCCAAAATTCAATAATTATTTATTATTATTTTAACAATAATTGAATCTTGTATTCGGTATTTGTCGATGCCACCAACCCTATCTATTCAAATGGTATGTCCAACAAACCGTCCACATTGCAAGTTGTTACGTTTGTACCATTTTGCAATGCATTGATTTGGTGATAGGACATTATGGTATATTTCACCACTAGAATTCTCTATGGGTAGCCTAAAATTGTCTCAGGTATTTATTGCGGGAGAAATGTAAAACTAGTTGTGTAATGCTTTGGATATTCGAGCACTTAGGTTTATTAACACGCCATTCCAAAGCGAATTTGTTTTCCATATACTGATTTATTAAAATATATGCTATTTATATATTTTTTATTTTTCTGTCTGATATTAAATAGTCTAGATGTCCAAATATTCACCCAAGGGTCCAAATATGTTTAATGTTAACTTTTTGTAACATATATAACATATATAACTATATGGAAGTTAAAGAATATCACATTACATAAATTTTAACTTTCCGCAAAGGTAAAGCGGCAAAAATATGTTTGTTAAAGCTTCTTTCCTTCCAGGCGTTTGGGATGTCAAATATAGACACCCACTGCAGGAATAAAGCATGATACTAATGTATACTTTAGGACATACAACTAATAGTAGCGTTCGCTACTAATAGCGAATTCCATTCCCGAACAGAAGGTTAAGGACCACAATAGCTAGATAATTGTTCTTAATCCCCACTATTTATCCCCATTTATAGCCCCATTGCTCATAAGGTACCCTATGTCATTCGTGACTAATCGAACTCACTTTATCGTCATCCTATCTTCCTTTGGTGGTGCCCCGCTAGTGTATACCGAGCAGAGTAAGAGGGTACACTATTACATATTTATTTAAGTCTAGTTTTTCATTTTAGTTCGTGACTCGGGTCCGTCAACAAACATACTCTGTATTAGTTTTATCGGACACGTACATTCGCACATTGCTAAACCTCCTTTTTATAAAAAAGAAATCATTTTCACATGGCTAGGCTTGGTTGGGGGCGTGCCAGGCAGGCAGGGCGAGCGGCCATTGCATAACACCGACCATCCTAACTGCAATCTTTGCACGCAATACCGTTGGAATATTGAAAAACATGAACCACTATTTCGTCGTATGTGGATAGAAATATTTTAGTATCAATTTGAGGTTTAGTGCAAACATTTGTGTTTTTAATATTACGAGGTACGACGGACATCTTGGTCCTGGCATGTTTGGCAATGTTTGTGAGGTACCACGGGCGTAATAATGACGACATGATGTCTATTGTGATGTTCATACATTTTCCATCGAGACTGTTATCTTGTGTGCCGTTCTGTCGAAACGGGTTACAGAGGGAACCGTTTTAAGGTTAACCTGACCATTGTACTCTGATTGCACTATTTTCCTTTGACATAATTGCAATGGCGTATGCTGGTGATAACTCAGTTCTTCCTAATTTGAATTTAAAAATGAATCTGTGTTCATGTAAATATGTACAAGATAGTATAAGAGCTGAGTTTCTTAATTTGTTAATTCTTCTTGGCTCCAAAGCTCTTAACAGATTAGTCATAACATAAGAGTCTAATAGGCCTATATGAATAGAGATATTTTGTTTTTTTTATTTCAACATGAGGCGCTGTCTTCTATCTTCTATTACTAACAATCCTTTCCCCTAGCAAAACAGTAAGTAAGTACAGTTTAACATAGTGATTTTCGTGCAAATAATATCGGGCGTGGCGTCGCTGCACGACCGCAGCGTTTACGCAACGGACAGCTGGTTGCACGACTCATCTTCAATTAAAACAGATATTGTGTGGTCTCAGTGCTAGCGGGTGTTCTAGGTCACGTTGGAGAGGTTTTAAAATGTTTCACTCTGATCTATCACAGAGGGAAGGTATCTAGGGTTTTTAGTAATGTGGAATAATATTAATAATAATAATAATTGCTAGTAATGCCAGGTTGACCTCCACGTGGTTCCGCCTGGAAAGCATCGTGATAAATTCATGGTAAATTTACCACGATGGGCTAACTGACCTGATCTTATGCTCATCTTACATACTCCATTGGTGCCCTGCCGGTGTAAACCGTTAGGCGGGTGAAGTATTATATCTATAAATATAATGTTTCAAGATATTACTTGAATAGATAAGAAATGGTACAATAGTAATTTATTTGCGTCTATTTTTCCGTTTCCTGTTTATGTTTTCTATAAAATACAAATGTGGTTGGGAATATGTAATACCGGGCGAAGCACGACCGGAGTTTTTACGCAACAAACAGTTACACGAATCATCTTCAATTAAAACCGTCATTGTGTGGCCGTAGTATTAGCGGGAAAGTTACGGGAGATATTAAAAATATAAAAGTATTAAAACACCTATTATGGGGCACTTAAATCACTATTGTAGTCTCGTTATTATAAGCGGTGTAAATTATAATAAATCGGCCATTGGGTAATCCCCTAATGTCGCAAATATAATTCATCACAACAGGAATGCTAGATTGTCCACTTCAGAGGCATTGGAAATAATTATTTTTACAGACCCAGTGCCATTGGGACGTGGGCATACATATATACATAGTGGTAGCGATTTTGTTTTATACTATGTAAAATTTACTATCATGTTACATCGATAAACATAATTCTTTGATGCCTATTTGAAAAGAATAAGGGTTGAGTTTCTTTTCAGTTCATCTCAGTTCAAAAGCACTCCGACCTGACAGTAGATTTGACTTATCATAAGAGTCTGTAATAAATAATTCCCTGACATCTGTTAGATAGTATAGAATATCGATTTTATATTCGCCTTCTGCGTTCGCTTATATTGAAGCCCCATGATCTAATTTTGCATCGCATGCATGCATTTGAGCCCGCACACGACGGTCACGAGTTAGCCTGGTCTCGAAATTATTTTAGAGTACCTTGTTATAAATTCTATATCTATGTACATTTTCCGTATTCTACAATATTTTGAAACGATTTTAGAATTTCTAAATTTGTTTTTTTTTGTTGTGCTGTATGTAAATTACTATGTGGCCAATGAGATAGAGTTAAAAAAAACGAAAATGGAATGAAACAAATGAAAAGTGCACTGTCTTATTACCCGCATACTAAATTTCCCAATGTCAACGATGTTCCTTTCATATAGTTACAAGTAACATTGTAATTATAAATTTAATCTGAACAGATTTTATTTAAATGGATTTACTTTACTGGATACTCTTAGACTATCTTTTTTTAAGAAGAAGCATACGAAGACGTCGATGATAAGTAGTACAAACTAGTTACTCATATCTATAAAAGTACAAAAGTATATTACAACGAGTAAGAGAAAAAATTACCTATCAATTATTTAGAAATAATGTATCTCTAAATAGCGGTAACTTCCAGAAAACCTATGGATTCTAGAAGTTATTCTAGAACTTCTGCAGTTTTATGTTTAGAATGAAACAAAATTTTAAATACAAAAGTATATTCTTTTATGTATTATATCTTTTCTTTTCTATTATATAGATTATTTCTATTCTATTATTTTTTGTTGCAGGCTTGCGGGCCTCCGATCCAGCTGGAGCCGGTCGACCTAAGTTTGAAACGCCCACCGACTCCGAGGCGACGACTACGTGCCATTAGTATGTATCTACAATATTACAAATACATTATTACTATCTACTACCTAAAGTAGTAGATATATATCCATATTTTATATTTGTCTGTCTAGCATATATTGGTTTAAGAAATGGATGCGTAAGTAGTAAGTAACATAATAGAGATACTACCATACTTAGAAAGATATGGTGTAATTTGTATTGAAGAAAAATTTAAACGAGCCTAAATATTTTTGATGTATCGAACATATTATAGGTATACAACTTTATACCTTTGTCACAATAACAGTTTATTGGAAACGTGTAATAATGTGTGGAGTTTTCAAACAATGTCACTGTGATAAAGTACTGACTTGTTTGCTCTTAATTAAAATATAGTAATATCCTCAAATGTTCGTTGTCCAATATCTCATCATATGACAGAGTAATTTAACTTGAGAGACAGGAAATTGGTATTATTGCCCTGCAATTATTATGGTTACACTTAAGTTTTCTCCCTTTCTCTGCGACTACCTTGTTAGTCTAGTATGTAGATATAGATAGATAGACAATTAAGATTGATGGCCCTTCAGAATCGCCATTAATTTTTCGCGTCGTGCATGTCACGTAGTTTAATAGATCCGGCACCATACGAGTATATAGTTGTCACCTCGTCGGCCTTGTACCCAACGTGACAAAGTAGTCTGCACTAATACCAATATTAGACTTGTTTGTCTGTCACTTCAAGCTTTATACGGAAATTACATGGAATTTTGGTGGACAACAACAGATTTATCCCTGAATTTGTTTGTCTGCTATCTCTTTCATAATTCTATTACTTCATTATTTAGATTCTACAGTATTTACTACATTTCTAAATATAAATTTCATAAATATTAATGAATTGATTCATTTACAGCGTTATATTTGGTAAAGTAAGCAAATCTTATGTTTTCGAACAAAAAAAGCATACGGTACATCTGATGGTAAAAAGTCTAAGATATCTACTTTAAAAATAGGATTATGAAGATTCGGTTGGGGTGTTCTTGATCGGAATGAATGAGGATATCCTTATGGAAGATCGAAAAAGAGATAGATGAATTGTGTGGAAGATGATATGGCAAGAAAAGGACTGAATATTCAAATGACTACAAAAAGGGATGAATGGAAAAGAAAAACATTACGCCCAACCTAAATGGATGGGATCAGGAAGAAGCAGATTATGACTCTATTTTGCTGTATTGACACTATAAATTAATTAAAGATCTGATAGATAGAATGTTATAGTCAAAGTTATTTTCTGGAGATGGCGGTGGATGTTAAGAATTATTAAAATAATTATATAAAATATCCTCAACTGAAACACAGATCACAAAGCAAGCTGCTTGGAAACTGAAATAAATGAAAATCCACACTGAAAACTTAAAAAAACGACTTATTGCTAACAATAATACAATTATTCAAAAGTTTTATAAAAAAATTGGCAATAAGTACAAACTCTGATAAGTTATTGCTGGACTGAAGTGCACCCAGCGCTAGTTTTCTGTATTGTATTTAATTTTTACATTAAAATAATTTAAATTAATACGTATAGGACAGTTTGCAACCAAGAGATCGACAGTAAACGTTGTATAACCGTTCTTGGGTGCGTTATATCTATACTATGTTAATTAAAGCGGAGAGGTGCCAGTGAAAGGGATCATACCTTACCGAGCCTATATGTTTCTAGGGCCCCCGCACACGGTCCATTCAGTTTCAGTTTATAATTATTTAAATCTTCCCTCTTTCTTTTCGAGAGTTTGGACAGCTTGTTTATTCGAGAGAAGAATTTCAAGAGAAGAATTTCCAAGATAAGTTTAAAATTATTCAAATCTTCCCTCTTTCTTTTCGAGAGTTTGGACAGTTACTTTATGCGAGAAGAATTAGCAAGATAAGTTTAATATTCAAATCTTTCTTCTTTGTTTTCGAAAGTTTGGACAACTACTTTATTCGAGAACAATTAGTAAGACCAGTTACTTACTTAAATCTTCCTTCTGTCTTTTCGAAGTTGGTTGAGAGTATGGAATACGGACTCGTGTGTTGTCCCACTAACTTAGTTACAACTAGTTATGCACTCGCATTACTTGCTATCTCTTGTAGGGGGACAAGGAAATGCACCATTGTCGATACACAGCCGTGGCAATTAATGGGATATAGGGCAAGCTTTTACGTGATACAATCTGACATATAGATAGATAAGTTCTATATTCACCAATTACAGAAACAGTATAGAAAGGTATATAAAAATATAAATATATAAATAAAAGAAATTGAGGTAACTTTATGGTCCGCAGAGGTAGGCAACTAACTCAGAACAAAACTACGGATAAACTTGAAGCGCTAATATTCTGTTGGCTTTTGTACGTACTTATATATAGTGGTGAGTGGCAATCTCGCCAATACATATACATAAAGAGCATCACATGCCAGTAATATCGACATATTGTTGACATGTGATACTCATGGTACATCTCGTGCGTTGCCATTCTAGAGGACAAAGGTGTGATGCTTTCAAAACCTGTACTTTAACTCTAAAAAACGAAGCACTCGGCGACTGAAAAGTATGTTATTTTGTATTTATGTTCCACATTCCTAGCAATCTCCTTCCCCCTATTATTCTGTATTGCATGTCGTATAAAAATTACAATCGAAAAGACTCACAATGATCCGGCACTGTCCTAGCGTGCATGCGCTTATATTAAAGGGCATTAGAATTGCCCGAAGGCCGAAGACGCTACCAGTGCAGGTCACGCCATCGTTGCAAAAACTGGAAAACTATTGGATTAAAGCAAATTTGTTAACTAAAATTCAACTCTACGTCATCGATATAAGGCCTTGTACAAGAAACTACTATTGCATGCCCGTTTAAGTACTAACGAACTTCAACTCTATGTTGATTGACGTAAGTGTTAATTTATTGTTCTAAGCGCTTTCAGTGCTCATTCGGGTAACTCTATTTTAGGATACTAAGTGATGTCTTGTTAAGAAGTAGTAACCATTGCCTATTGACATGAAAAATCTGTGTATCATAGATTTTTCATGTCAATAGGCAATGGTTACTACTTCTTAACAAGACATCACTTAGTATCCTAAAATAGAGTATAATATTCTTTTTTATACCACACTGGTGGTAATCAAGTATACGGTCCATCTGATGCATGTCATGTATTTAAAAACACGTTTTTGAGTATTAAGAAGTTATACATCAATTGCCGAGTAATTTTCAATGCACATTTGAACTCGAAGTCACTTGGTAATATACATATAGTTACTCTCTGGTAAGGTACAGTCGACATCATAAATACATATATTAGGAGTTGAGTATGCTAAGTTGTAACGTTTAAAATTGTTCTTCTATTGTATTGTAACGTTTAAATTATTTCTTCGCCAAATTCAAGATGCTTTTACAATATTCATTAAAAACAGTCAAAATATTTACATTAAAATAATGTAACAAACGTACCACAAGTAGGTCTACCATTTCCACTTTATATAATTTAAGAAAGTATATTTTTACCATTTAATTCTGGATTGTGGTTGCGATATATTTTGGATTTTATTATAATCGTAATGTTAATTACAAAACATTATACAATAAAAGTTTTAGTGCCACCTTAATTAATTTAATAAGTGTACACAATTAAAACAGAATAACAATAATTATCATGGTCACACTACACTTTAAAAACGCATTACATTACCATCGCCTTGTTTGGGTGTGGGCGAAGTAAATAGATTGAGCGTGCATTGATTAGTCGTAGGATTTTATTAGAAAAACTTGATTGGTATGACGTTAGTGTAGGTTGGGTCGGCTTATTTGCATAGGATGCTGGCATATCTCAAGTTTTATTATGAAAGGAAGACATGCCTTCATAACTTAATTAAATTCTGTCTATCTTCATCTTCACGCTCTGTATAATAGCAAAGATCGTAACTAATCTGCTTTTTATATATACTTTTGTAAAATAACTAATATATACCTAACAATGAAATTACGAAATAAAACTTGAAAAGTGTTGTCGAAGCTCAAATATGCCTGACACAAAAAGAGTAAATATATATCTACATTACTGATTAACTCTCTGTTCTTGGATATACCGACAAGAAACCAAATTGATCCGAGAGACAGCAGTAGGCTCGCTTTCTGCTACGTTATATTAAAATTGAAATACTATACATTCACGGACATTAACATTCTCCAATAAAATATATATGTATATGTATTTAGTTTTATCTTTTTTTTGCACTAGGTTTTCGTATAAAACTATGATTTTGAACATTACATTTAACAGAGATCTGTGGTAGAAACTTAAAGGACTATTTAGGACTTTAATATTCTAGTTTTGGGTACAATTTAGTTTCAAATTATCTGTAAATTATGATAATTTTATCATGAAAGGTTTACGCGAGTGCAAGTATAAAAAATTAATCTCTTCCGCCTCAGCTTATAACTTACATATAACGTATAAAGATGTTCGTACCTCTATCATCTCAATGTTAATCGCTAATATCGAGGTCGGACGGGCGTGTAGTAGTAATGAGCGCTCTTTTAGCGCTATACAGAATAGAATTAAATAAAATAAGGTCTAGATATAGAACTGTAGACATATAGAACTGTAGTCTAGACGGTCTAATATATCAAAGTACATCTGTCCCTTTACTTATCCATTTCCTATTTGACTACGGCGATTTTTTTTTGTTGCCCGATAAATAAATCTGTCAATAGTGTTTCAATTAATAATAGTTTATAGTGGAAGTACACGTTTTTAGATCTCTATTAATTACAGTTTAAGTTCGATAATGGTTTCGACTAATTTAATGTTTTTCTTTTCTTAATATTTCTTCTTTTCCTTATCCGATATCATTTGTCGTTGGCGTAATATGTATTTCTCGTCTATTCTTTTCTATTCGCAGTTATCTTAGCCGTTATTCATTCCCTTTCTTGCCATATCATCTTTCACACAGTCCATACATCTCTTTTTCGGTTCTTATAACTTCCACATTCA